GACTAGAGCATGGATCTAGGACTAGAGCATGGATCTAGGACTAGAGCATGGATCTAGGATTAGAGCATGGATCTAGGACTAGAGCATGGATCTAGGACTAGAGCGTGGATCTAGGAGTAGAGCATGGATCTAGGATTAGAGCATGGATCTAGGATTAAAGCGTGGATCTAGGATTAGAGCATGGATCTAGGATTAGAGCATGGATCTAGGATTAGAGCATGGATCTAGGACTAGAGCAGGCAGCATCTTCACTGTCAAAGCATTTGTCAGATGCCTCTGGCTCCTGTCAGTTGGACCTCAACTAGGCAGTAAAATTGAATCACTATTAGAAAAGTATATGCCTTTTATCTGAAGGCATAATTTGCCTTACTAAATAAAATCAGAGTTTAAAAATGTTTGATTTTTGGGTTTTTGTTTGTTTGTTTCGTTTTTCTCAGCCAGGAATTACCGTTTCTTGGGATTCTCTGGGCACTTTTAGAAACAATTCCAAGTTTTGCTTTTATCATTGTTATCATTATTATCATTACTGTTGCTGTTGTCATCATTACTGGGTTAAAGTGAGGGGATGGGTGGGGCCAGCATAAGAGCATGTTTAACTGTCACAGGACAGCTTTGGGAAGTCACGGGTCCCAGGAATCAAGCTTGGGTGGCCAAGCAGATACTTGCCTTCTCTGGCCACTTTAAAGGACCCTCACCAACTTCTCTCTACTCTCTACTGCTGCTGACTTGAGAGCCTCCCTGCTCTTGCTTTCAAACCTCCTTTTTCCCTCTTGTGAGGTGTGTGCTGGAGTCTTGGCTGGGGAAGACTCTCTTCTTGAACACAGATTTGTACAATGTCTGCTCCCTGCCTCCAGCCACACTTTCTTGCATTGAGGTCAAGCGGGTCTCAACCACCTCAGGTCAATTTGTTTACACTCCTCCTGCCTTGATGCTCAGAGATGATCTGAAATGATTTCCTTTCGAAAAGCAAACCCCAAGCTTCCCTTCGTAACCTCACCAACCTACCGTATGTGACTTCATAGAGTAACGGGCACTTCCAGAAGTTTGTGTGTCCGTGCATGAATGCGTGTGTGCATGCAAGCCTCTCTCTCTCTCTCTCTCTCTCTCTCTCTCTCTCTGTCTCTCTCTCTCTCTCTGTGTGTGTGTGTGTGTGTGTATGTGTGTGTGTCTGTTAAATCCCACCTTTTTTCCTTTTACTCCTCATTCCTAGACACAAAAGCATTTCATGCTTCAAATTCCTTTGGCTTATTCTGAAAATACCCTCCAAAGGAGTGTGTATCCCATCATCCTCCACAAGTATGGACCCTTTATGTGTTTAGGAGATTACACTAAATACTATATGTGCCTGAACACTTCAAACCTTCATTTAAGTAAAGTTGCCTAAAAAATAAAGATTAAAGTTGACCATCTCTCTTGGAAAAAAAATCCCAAGACTGAAATGCTCCAAATAAAAAATAAATCAATGTCTGATGCCAACAGGAAGATCAAAAGTGAACGCCTCCACAGCTGATCTCAGGCAGCAGATACAGGCGACATAGCGAGCGGTATGCTTGACCCATGCTAATCACCATCAGGCTACATAGAAAATATTCATGAGACGTAAGGAATTTCATGTTTAGATTTGGGTCTCATTCCCAAGATGTTATGTGTACAAATACTCCAAAGTCAGAAGACATCTGGCACTCTGGTCCCCAGTATTGGAGAAGGGACAAGCAGTCTGTTATCATTAGCATTTCGCTTTCGTAGTTGAGAAAGGTAGAAGAGGCATAATTTTAAGTCAGGACCTTTCCACACACACCACGGCCACCGCAGCGGCCACCACTGGGGGTCAAGGTCAGTACCCAGCAGAAAGCAGGCATGGAGATCACACACTTCCTTTGGCGTGACTTTTTCTGCTACCTAACTTTAGAATGAGTACAAATGACTCCACCCCTTCCTCCCTTCCTTCCTCCCTTCCTTCCTCCTTTTAGTCTTTCTTCCAGCTTTCATTCCTTCCCTCTGCCAGTCTCAAGTGGCAAAGGGACTGTGAGAAAGAACAGAAAGCAGGGCTGACGTTCCTGCCGTCTCACACCCTGCTTCTCGTTACCGAGAATCTTTCTCAAAGTGTGTTAATCACATCGCTACCTTATGTCCCAAGATCCTTTGAATACACACCCCCAACGTGGAAGCTCTGTCTCACACATGGACTGTATTTTATAAACAGTCACATTCCTGGACTTGTAGGGGACTATAGAAAAGTTCACTGAATGAGGTTCCAGGCCCACAGATGGCTATACGGTTGGCCTTTTTAAAGTCAAATATTCTGGCCGTATTTGCCTATTGAACCATAGTAAGAACAGCAGCAGCCTTCCTGTGTGGGTAACACATGACCTCATCATAGCAGAGTGGTCCGGGGGGTGGGGGGGTGGGCTGGGAGCAGTCTTCTGTTGAGATGGTCCATTTCACCCTAAAAGTATCTTCGTTTTAAACTTTTCAGTGATGAGCAACAGCGAGACTATTTAATGGAGAGGCGGGACCTCGCCATTGATTTTATCTTCTCCTTAGTATTAATAGAAGTCTTGAAACAGGTGAGTGATTCCTTTACTATAACTTTTTATTAACTCTTTGTAAGACTAAGTTTTATGGCTTATGAATCACTGGACAATGTGAATCTTGTTTATTGATGACAATAGGTCATATGTTGTTATTGGAGTGACTGTTATAGATAGGCTGTTTAATATCTCTTCCAAATTCAATGTCATCTCTTTTTTTTCAGATCCCCCTTCATCCTGTAATAGACAGCTTAATACACGATATTATTAACTTGGCTTTCAAGCACTTTAAATACAAGGAAGGGTAAGGTGATTTCTTTCCTTAGAGTATTGACAACGTTGAATGCTTGAAGGTTAGCTCATTGATGTTTTCCAGGCACCAGATCCCTAACTTGTCTAATTCTGTTTCACTCAGGTACCTGGGTCCCAACACTGGCAATATGCACATTGTGGCCGATCTGTACGCAGAGGTCATCGGAGTGCTGGCCCAAGCCAAGTGAGTGAGCACCGGAGCCCTTGCACCTCTAACTTACAGAAGCATTTGCATAGGAACTGGCATTAAGTTTGGCATATGTGCACATCCTGAAACCAACTAGACGCTCCTTCAAAGCAGGTCCAGACTGGCTCTTCCCTCTTGGCAGTTGGCCCAGATGCCACCACATCCCTGCATTTCAGGCCACTGTTTCTAAGAGAAAAAAAATGCATGTGACCAAATTACTTTCTCTCTGCTCAAACATTCCAAAGACAGTTTTTAGTTCTTCAGTTTTGTTTTGCTTTTTAATTAATCCACCAGGATTAAATAGTTACCATCTATCACCCATAAGTGGGAAAATTCATTCTACAACGTCCCTTTTACTACAGACCTTACTTAATTCAACTGGGCTAAAAATGTCCCAGACATTGTCATGGAAACAAGTCAGGGGGGAAATTCTCCTTGCTAAATTTATCTGGCCCCGTGATACTTAGCAGGCTAGAACAGCGCCATGTTAGACTGTGAGCACTGATAACTCCTTCCAGATGGAGTCACACCCTGCTTACCATTCTTCATGCTATACACCCCAGAGGCACACTGGTCCAGAGCCTGAATGTCTAGATCAGGTGATATGAGCTAAGGACATGGTGCGAATTCAGGCCAAGGGAACAGCTTATAGGGAATGATGCCTCAGACCTTGTGAAGTGCAGTCTGAGAGAGAGAGAGAAAGAGAGAGAGAGAGAGAGAGAGAGAGAGAGAGAGAGATCTTTAAGGGATGGAGTTCTCCATGCCGGTAAGTTCGTGTGTCCCTCAACCCTCATTAGAGAAGCTTCTTTTTTGCAGTAGACGGCAAGATTACAGGGATTCACAACTAATCAGTGCACAGAGTAAGATACTATGGCATGCTTGCTCTAAGTGAGACAGCCATATCATACTCCGTGTCTCTAAGGTCCAGGGAGCATCAAGAATGAGAGAGCAGAAAGATGGTTAAGGACCAGAGGTAGTGGTTGCCTGCCATGAAACAGTGTTTGCTAGACAAGACAGAGCTGTTTCCTGGATGAACTCGTCAGCCCAAATCCCCGCATGGATGGGACAGGACTCGTGAACTCCTGTCTGAGGAGCGATTGGCAGTTGATGGCTGCTGGGGACAGAGAATCAGGCTTCAGGGTTGGGGGTCTGGCGAGTCTGCCCATGCTGTCTAGTACCGGCAGCACTGTGTGAGCACAGTGGGCTTTTAAAAAGTGCACGTGAAGTTGGAAAGGGAGAGTGACTGGGGGATCAGAAAGGAGCTGAAGGAAGGCTGCAACTGGGTTTCATCAAAACACATTAGATGCAGGTGTGAAATGCTCAAAGTTTTAAAAATTAAAAATTATCTTAAAAACTAGCCATATAATTTCATCTAAAGAGGAAAATGCTTAGTGTTTTTAGTACAGACGTCCTTGCTGTGTGCACTTGGGTTTGGTCCTAGACCCCTTGTTCCTATGGATACCAAAATCTGGGATGCTCACGTCTCATGCAAACAGCATATACAGTCTTTACACATAAGCTTTGCTCTTCTGTCATGCAGCTAAGTCATTCTGGGTAACCTATGACCCCTAATGCCATGTGAATGCTGAATAAATAGTTAACATGCTGCGTTGTTCAGGGAACAGTAAAAAGAAAATTAAAAAAAAATCCACCCCAGAGAAATGAAATTTCCTCACTTAGAATGGAAGTGCATAATTTTTCAAAACAGGCTTTTTACATCATCATTGTTGTTGTCATTATCCTTTTATTAGGAAGCACAAACAATTAGCAAGAGTCGATTCTGTCCACTGTCAAGTCTTGAGAATTAAACTCGGTCATCAGGCTTGGCAGCAAGCACCTGAACTTCCTAAGCCATCTCCCTGGCCCCTCATAACATGTTTCAAATACTTACACAGCAACTTCGTCTCACCCAGGTAAAACCGTAAAATCATAGAAAATAGAATCACCCACAACATGGCTTGCTGTGACTTTTCCTTCTCTCTGATCCATCTTTCCAGCAAATGAGTTGTCTGTTTTCTAACACAGGAAAACATCAACATTAGAGAGTGGGGAGGGACCATCTGGAGAGCAAGGCACTGACAACAGGGAGAAGTATCAAGGTCGATGACAGACAGACACAGAGGAGAACCAGATGAGGACACCTTAGATGACAGGGGCTGGAGAGCTGGTAGGAGGTGCAGAGGACCTGAGTTCAGTTCCCAGCACAAGATGGCTCACAACCATTTGTAACTCCAGTTCCAGGGGATATGACGCCCTCTGCTGGCCACCACAGGCACTGCAGTTCATTGTGCTTGAGTCTCAAGTACAGGTGAAAAAAATCTATTATGATCATTGTGGTTCATGAGTCACTAGGGAAAGGAGGAATGATGTGTTTTAGAAAAATTATCATTTAATTGATTAGTGAGTATATTTGCATTAAACTGAATGAATCTGCAGTTATCTGGTCATTAATCCATGAGTACCTAGAAAGGATTTTAAAAAGAAGAGATCAATATGTATATTTGCTGACTCATCAGACTCTGGAAAATCTCAGTATATTTTTTTGTAATTATACTAGCAAAAATTTTTCATGTTATGACATGGAAAGTTTGGTATGTTAAAGTAACAAAAATGAATGTTTATAGTTCTCTTAGTTTTTATGAATAATGCGCAATACTGCCTATTATCAGATGACCAAACTTAGCTAGGCAGGCTCTGAAAAAGTTGAGAAACAGTGTCCTGCCAAGTGTGCTAGCTCAAGCCCATCGTCCCAAAACTCAGGTCACTGGAGCAGAAGGAATGCTGCCAGTGAGTGGCTAGCCTGGAGTACAGAGTGAATTCCAGGATAGCCTGGACTACACAGAGAAACCCTGTCTCAAAAAAAAAAAAAAACAAGAACAAAAAATGAATAAAAAAAAGAAATTCCTCAAATTATAGAACTTTCATTACAGTGATAAATTCCTTAATTGCTATTTCCTTAAAGGCTGGGCAGTTGGTTGGTTGGTTGGTTGGTTTCTCATCAGTAATGTATTGATGTTTTCAAAGTCAATTATAAATTTAAAAGATACTCTGGTCAGTCTGCTCTTAAAGTTTTCAGGAACTCAGACAGCCCAGGAGATGTTCTCAGCCGGGCAGTGTGCTGTCTTTATTGACAGATGGTGCAAGCTTACGTCAGCATCACACGTGGAGTATCTCCATGTAGACAAGGGACACCACTTTATTGTTTCATTAAACAGATTCTACTCTCTCTGTGTTATCAAGGGGGGAAGAGGGTACGTGGCTACCTGACACAGTGTGCTTAACTTGCCCCCTTAATAAAGATGAACTAGCTCATCCTGATTTTAGATTGACTATCAGCTCATTCCTCCTTGTGACTTGGTTATTAGGGCTCCGTTTGGTCTTGGAGTTTTAGCTGAGTCAGTGTTTAACCTTTGTAATGGCAATGCCACTTAATCCTGTGCCTTTAAGGTCCGTTTTGATATTGAGATATTCAAGTGTAGTACTAATTTCTTCCAAAGTGAACTTAAGTTAAAGATAGATTTTCTAAGTACGTGAGTTAAAATTTGATACAGATGTTTAGATGATTGTTTCAAAGATTCCTAGATTTGAAAACTGGGTTTTCTTCTCTTTTCCTCCGTACCTGTGAACCATACATTTTTAAAACAAAGGCTGATCTTTATTCGTGTTTTTCTTTCTTTCTTTTTTGTTTGTTTTATTTTTTTCAAGACATATTAGATTTTATTAAATGCAGGTTTATTGCAAAGCTGCTCTTGGGTGAGTTCATGGGCCCCAAAGACCGAGGCCAGGGAAGTCACCATGGGGAGGGGGGAAGAGAATAAAAGAAAAGGCACATTCAGACAGAGAAGGAAGGTTAGGGGGTGTTTTTCTTTTCTTTCTTTTTTTCTAATGCCTATGGGATGCTTTGTCCTCCTGTATGTGTATGTTCCATGTGCATGCAGTGCATACAGAGGCCAGAAGAGGGCGACAGATCCTCGGGAACTGGAGTTACAGGTGGTTGTGGGTGCTGGGAATTGAGCCCAGGTCCTCTGTAAGAACAGCCGGTGCTCTTAACCACTGAATAATTTCTGCAGACCCCTGTATATGAGTTTCATAGAATACCACAAGTTGAGTCGTTGTTTAATTACTGTATATGCTAATTGCAGCACCAAATGATATATTTAAGGAAAGACCATAGACAATCTTGTTTCTCTAAAAAACAACAAAAAAAAAACAAAGAAAAGGAAATGAGATTTTAAGTGGAAATAGATCTGCAGGTTAGTTGTATCCTAAAATAACATGTTTATGTCATGTGGAAATTTCACAGTAGAAAATAGTTGCATCTATTTTTAAATGAAAAAGTAAAATTTTAGCCACTTCTCACCATATTGACGTACTGAGTTGCGTAAGCAGACTGCCCTTTTTTAACTCTTTTTGTTAGCTGTGGGTTAGGATTAAACGAATAGATCTCTAACTTCAGGCCTTTTCTCCGAGAAGTGCCTGTATCTGACAGGAGAAGTGAACTGATATGAATAACATTTCATATTAATGACACGTCCTAACCGTGTTCACACTGACATATTTCTCAATGATGTCCTCAGCGTGGATGCACAAGGGTGTGCACAGCCTCTGCTTAACTGCCTCCATGTCAGCAGAGTCCCCGCTCCTAGGCCGTTAATGCACTCAGCATAGTTACTGAGAACCTACTGTGTGCCTGATCTTGTGGAGTTTGCATCTAGCCAGAGGTGTCAGACAATAAACATTAAAGGAGTGAATTGTAACACATTCAAGAGCCTTTCTCCCCCACCTCCCCAACCCCTGTTTCTCTTCCTTTCTCTTTCCTAACTCCTTCCTTTCGTCCTTCCTTCCCTCCTTTCTTTCTCCCTCTTTTCCTTTGGTAGTGGAAATTGAAGCCTAGGTCCCCAAGCATGCTGGGAAATAATCTGCTGAAGATCTCTCTCCCAGCCCTCATCATCTTGTTGTTTCCTTACATGCTGTTTCTTTTCAAATAGGATCTTAAGTTTCCCAGGCTAGCCTGGGACTCTCAGAATCCCTGGCAGACTGCAACCCTTAAAACTCCCAATCCTGCCTCAGTCTCCTGGGACTTACAGACCTGTACCACAGCCCAGGATGGCACACAGGTGGCTGTGTATTCATCCACACCACGTTCGATGTTCATTTGCGTCCTGGAGGAGCGTTGCTTGGTCTGTCAGGTCAGCTCCCTTCCAAGCTCTATGCATTAGCTAGGCGGTTGCCCACGCGATATGTCAGGATGCTGGAGACACTCGAACAAAGACAACAGACTTGAGAGCTTTACTGACAGACATCTATTTCTTCAGAGCTCTAGGTAGCAAGGTCAAAGTGTTGGCAGGGCTGATTCCCCTGTGGAGAAGTAGCCTTCGGTGTGGCCTTGCCTGTCTGTGCTGTGTTCCTTATCTTGTCTTTAAAATATCCCAGGCATATTGGGGGGGGGGGGACACCAGACAGCCTGACTACCTTCACCTCTTCAAAGCCCCATCTCCTAGAACAGTCACACGCATTCTGTGTATGACTTGGGTGTATGGGGGAAAGATATAAACAACCCATAACACTAAATCTAGGCAAGGGCTAGAAGATATATTTTTAGTGAGTTTTCAGACCACACAGGGAACATACTTAAACAATCCTGGATTCAGCCTTAGTGTGTCACATGGGATTAAGAGGAGGGAAGTCTGAGGTCAGGCGTGGCCTTCAGGCAGCAGCTCCATCATCGATCAGCTGTCCGGCTTTATTAGATTTTGAAGAATTGATGTTTGAGAAGGATACAACCATGCTCCTTCATGGGACTGCCCGAGTGCTGCTGGGTGTGGCTGAAGTGCTGTAGACTCCTCCCAGAGAGCTGTTTGCCTCTGGTCATCTTAACATATATGTATGTGTGTAATATGTGTGTGTGTGTATGTGTGTGTAGTGTAGTGTACATATGTACTACACATACACACACGCATATGACATAGGGAACAATGGTGTCATTAGAATTTAGGATTTATATTTTAAAATATTCCGGAGTATGATTCTGTTTCCACTCAAATTGCCATTACCTGACACCAAACCAAGCTTTCTAAATTTAATACAATTTACAGTTTTAACTTTATTAGTATCTTCATCTGAAAGACAAAAACACAATTTTACATTCCCTGTGGTATTTTTACTTACAAAATGTAACACAACCAATATTTCCTCTCTTCTTTCCCAAGTATTCGGGAAATGTCAGAAATGGCAAGACGGGCCAGTTTGAAACGATGTCCAGGAAGTGGATGTTTTGTAAAAATCTGTAAAATGTCACTGCAGATCAGGAGTGAGCCCTTAGCCGCGTCACCAGCCTGCTGCAGAATACCTCAACTTGAATGCATTTAAACCTCACGTGGGCATTAACACTTCTGCTCAGCTGCCTTTCTAAAAGGAACGCAGCAAACATTAGAAACCCTATAAAACGTAAGGTTTAGTGAGCTGCCACAGGAGAGCACCATGCAGGCCCATCCTGCGTCTGCTAGCAGAGGGTCCCTGAGCCCGCTTCTGCTTCCTGTCGAGTGTCCTGTGATGTCTCCCTCGAGACAGCAGTTGCTCTGAGCTCAGCAGACCTGAGTACTTCGTGTTCAGCTTTCACGATCACAGGTGCCCTTCCTGAGTTAGACTCGCTATACTCCCTAGCCTCCTATGCTGTAGAAATTATTAATCCCGACCTGGGGTTCCTACCCTACCTTTGATCATTTAGTCCCCAGATTAAAACACACACACGCACACGCACACACACAGCATTTATATCTACAATAAGCCTTAAACAGCACAAAAGCTAGGCAGGTATCTACCTTCCATGCTGTTAGAATCTATTTTCCTATCTATAACCCCATAAGTATATACTACTTACTATGTTTTATCTGGGCTGCTCTTAACTCCAATTGGCCCGCCCACAGGGCCATGTTTTCTTTATTCCTAATCCATGGCTGCTTCTCCTTCTCCTCCTTCACCATCTTCTTCTTGGTGTTTCCTCTCTGACCCCCAAGCCCATGAAACCTAAGCCCCACCTATGTCTCTTCTGCCCAGCTATTGGCTGTTGGCATCTATATTTACCAATCAGAAATAACTTGGGTCAGGGTCACTTAGTGTCTTCCGTACAGACACTGGAGCATCCAGTCTTGGGGACCCAATATTAGGATACAAGCAGCATCAGAACAACTTACTACACTCCTAGCCTTGAAACTGAGTCTTCTATTATTTTTTTATTATTACTAAAACCTTATTATAAAGAACTCCCAAATAAAAAACCACCAACATTAACCAGACTCAGAGTCTATACATCTCAACTCTATACATGTGAACTCCTCCTTACACCATGCTCTGCAGAGCTTCGCCTTGGATTTGGCATTTTCAGATATGTTTTCTGCACTGATTTACCACCAAAACCTGAAACTCTATGACAGAGTTAGAACTAGAAAAGCAATTAGCCTTAGGGGTTTGGGTTTTGTATGTTTGCTTGAGACAGGCCCTCTCTATGATACCCTGGCTTCCCAGAAGTCACTGTGTAGACCAGGCTGGCCATCAACCTGTCTCTGCCTCTCGAGTGTTAGAATTAAATCACGTACCACCATACCTAGCCCAAACAATTAGCTTTATATCCTTGATTTGAATAAAAAATGATGTTACAGGTAGAATCTGCTTTTTCAACAATACAGAGAAGTTGAGGATAGGCGCTGTGGCTTTTACATGTCTTCAGTCACCAAGTCAAACCCTAGAAACTCACACTGCACATAGTAGACAGGGCATTCTTGTTTGTTTGTTTGTTGCTGCTGCTGTGGTACCAGGGAGCTGGGACTTTGCCATGCTGGGCCAGTGCTTTTTGACTGAGATACATCCTCAGTAGCTGATTCTGAAACAGTTTTATCATATAACCCAGGCTAGACTCAAGCTAATGGTCCTCTTTTCTGCCTCTGCCTCTGCCTCTGCCTCTGCCTCTGCCTCTGCCTCTGCCTCTAGAGAACAGGAGTCACAGGCATGTACCAGCCTTCACCTTTTTCTTTCAGATATAATTTCAGTTTTCCCATTACTAGGCTTTTCCTTCAACTTAAAATATATATTTTTCCATAATCATTAACCTAAAATTATACAAGAACAACAGAAAACGTTGGCAATGGAAATTGAGGTATTTTAGGCATTATTTGAGATAAAGATCCAAAAATTATTTGTGGTCACTGTCAGAAATAGCCTGTCCCAGAGCTGCACGCAGATGCTCGCTGTTGGACACTCTGGACCCTAGGGACCTGAAAGTATTTTGGTGTTAGCTAAGCCTGAGAAAATGGACGGGTGTTTTTTGTCTGTTTGGTATGCTCAGGTTAAGAGCTAAACCATCATGAGAGGGTCTAGACAGCAACTTAGTTCAGTCTGAAAGAGATGCCGAACATCCCATTGAACAAAGGAGGGAAAGGGGCGAGCTGGACTCTGTCAAATCCTCATGATCTGACAGCTGTTGTACTTCACCTGATCTGAAGGGCTCCGTCACTGTGACCAATCACCCACGGACGCTGGAGACCCTCATGATGGTGACTTTCTTATCTGTTATTTAGTCAGTCTTTTGTGTTTTCTCAGGTTCCCCGCTGTCAAGAAGAAATTCATGGCCGAGCTGAAAGAGCTACGCCACAAAGAGCAGAGCCCCTACGTGGTGCAAAGCATCATCACCTTGATAATGGGGATGAAGTTCTTCCGAATAAAGATGTACCCCGTGGAGGACTTTGAGGCGTCCCTCCAGTTCATGCAGGTGAAGTCCCCACAGGGGAGTCACAGATGTTTCCCTCACAAAGTTCCTTCCCGCAAAATACTGTAGCTAGAATGTGAAGACCCCACATAGGTAGTGCCCAGCGCAGGAAGGGTCAACACTCACACTTTTCAAAGCTGCGGGATGACACACACTCAATAGAAAGCATATTTCACATTATAGAAAATGTTCACAGTACCGAGGGTTGGATCTAGAGCCTTCGTGTTCACGCTAACAAAGCTCTCTACCACTGAACTGCAACCCCAACACTTTCTATAAAGTTTTTGTCGTGTAACTGCTTCTCTCTTGGTTGACCAGGTTGGTCTCAAACTTGCAACCCTCCTTCGTCAGACTCTCAGCTCACATTTTGTATTTGAGTCTTGTGCTTATTAGCACGAAGTAGTCTAAGCTTCTTGTGATGCTGGGTCATATTAGTAATGGCAACTTCCGGGTCAGCCAGCCAGCCAGCAGGGAGACTAGGGACTCTTCTGTGTACCGCCATTGTGGAAAGTTGGGAACTTTACGTGAAACCTCCCTTTCTGATACTTTCCACTTAGATTGAACTTATTGGGACAAAACACCATTATTAAGTCAAAGAGTATCTGCATTAAACTATACATATACATACATATATGTTGTAGTTATATAATATAGTATACACATACACACACACATACAATTAGCTTCTAGGTAAGTCACAAAATGCCTTAACATCAAATAATCAAGTTGCCAAAACATAACTAAAACTTTCAAATCCTCTTGGGGTTTGGCGGCACCATTGACTTTTCCCTTTCCTCCTCTGTGATTAAATCTTGGCTGAGAGTGACCACTGAGGCAGCAGCTCTGGGTGGGCCATAGTGGCATTCACAAGCATAAGGACTTTGATGAAGGGAGAAACCTGTCTTCTCTGTACTATGAAAGGAAGTCTTAACGTCACCGACTTCTGAGAACTTAGCAGAATGCAAGCCTCCTTTGAGTTGAAGGAAAATGTCTGTGTCTGAAGGGATTTCTCTAGTGCTGTTGTGACTGAGGTTGGTGTCCATCTTTCTTGAGAATTGAGAAGTGTGAATTTAGGATACAGGCTGCATGACTTCATGGTTCCAACGGCCACAGTCAGAAAGAGACTACAGCTGTGGGTGAGGACAGGTTGGACTTCTGCACCGCCAGTGTGTGTCGCAAGTAGCGTGTTGGAATGCAATACGGCCAGCCTTCCTGTTAGAAATAAGTTCAGGGTTGCAAGAGCCCACCACTCCAGTAGACAAGGCAGAACCTGATCAAGAGAGTGTGCTCCAAAGAGCAAGCACACGGGCAGGAAGTGTGCCCGCCTTTTATTCTAACACAGGTGGTGGCTCTGTCATTTCCCCATTGGCTGGGCTCTGACCTCACAGTCTTCTGTGATTAGTTTTAAAAGATGCAGCAAAGGAAATGAAGAGGGAAGAGGGCAGCCCCTTGAATCCTTTACCTGCTGAGGGTATGGCAGGACCTGGGGGTAAACAAGGGCTTTATGGGGAAAGACGGGGATTGAAGCATTTGTTTCAACACAAGCTGCAGATAAGAAGATGTTAACTTGTTATAAGCACAAGTTTTATAGTGTTTAATAGAAAAGACAGAATGTTTATTACACTCCAATGGCTAAACCCAGAATTACCAATTGATCCAGCCGGTCCACTCCTCTTCTCACACTAAAGAAAGTGAAAACACAGTCCACACAAAGGCTTGAACATGGGTGTTCATAGCAGTATGCAGATAGTAGCTGGAAGTTGGAAGCAGTTTAAATATCTCTGAACTTGTATTAAAAACAAAAAACCATGGTATTTCCATGCAACATGATAGTAGTTTGGTTTAGTCAGTTCCAGCTATCTGCTGCAACATATAACCCTTAAAATATCATGCTGAGTAAAAGACGCTAGTGCTAATCCCACAGATGGGAGGAGAAGACCACTGACCCAAACCAATCATGGCCAAATTAATTAAAACAAGCAGTTACTTAAAGCAAGTGTTTTGTGTACCCAGGCTGCCTTTCCCTAAGGTGGGGCTCAAGAGGTGAGCATTGAACTTGAGGAAGACAAGACTTGTATAGCTCAGGGGCAGGGGTCTTCCAGATCGGGGATTTGATGGGCAAGAGTTACAGGAGTGGAACAAGTTAGATTCAACGACCTCCTGAAACAAAGACATGATTGCAAGGTAGTTGTAGCACGGTAGTCATAACAAAGGTAGGGTTGCAGATGGTTATAATAACTTTGAAACAAAGACATAGTTGCTGTTTCTGGGAACAGACACTCCAGAACCATTTGTAGTTAAGGTTATAGGTATGCATAGCCCAATCCTTGAGAAACAGATTTAATCATAAGTAGGATGAATCCAATTTGTCTTTATGTAAAAGTGGTGTTCACGCCCAAGAAGGAGGCGGGCTGCTGGTTCATCACTAGACACAAAGGCCACAAGTTATATGAATCCTTTTCACTCAGTGTTCACAGCAAGCAAATTTACAAGAGAATGTATCCTAGAGTAACTAGGCTGCCTAGGTTGAGGACCAGAGTGGATGCCGAGATTGAGACTGCCAAACTGTACAGGGTTTCCTGGGGGGGGGGGGGGATGAGATGTGTCATTAAAAAGCTGTAACTCGACTGTAATATAGACTGAGGCTATGAACTTAACACTTTAAAGGAGTTGCACTGGTGTGTCAAGCATATCTCAGTGGCTAATCCATAGGGTGGGCGAAGGAGGGGTGACTGCTTTGCATCAACCTTCCTAGGTTTGAATTCAGGGCCAGCTCCCTTAGCACCTCCAGCCTCAGTTGCCTTGTCTGCAAATGGTGACGTCACTCACCTTAGGGAGCAGCTCTCAGGTGCCTGTCAGCTATTATCTTAACTCGGAGTTAACAAGGCACACATCTGCCGGGCTGGAGGTGCACACCTTAGCACTCCCAGCACTTGGGAGGCAGAGGCAGATGAATGTCTGAGTTAGAGGCTAGCCTGGTCTACAGAGCAAGTTCTAGGACAGCAGGACTAAACAGAGAAACCTTGCCTTGGAGGAGAAAAAGAATCAAAAACGAAACAACACGCATATCTATGTATGTGAATGCCCACTTGGGAGATTATTTACATACCTGTGCAGAATGATGCAAAAAAGGGGGCCAGGATCCTGGGGACCAGAGCCTCCCTTCTATAGTCAGCCTGTCCCAGGGACAGGTCATTCCACCTAGGATGAAATTTGGTACAATGATACACTGAAGACATTAGGAATTTTTTTTTGCTAGTATTACTAATAATGGTTGAAATATGAAGGGTAAGGGTTGATGTAGACATAAATATCATAATTGAAAACGACACCTTGAAGCCGTAGGAAGTCACTAACGTAAGGGGGGGGGGCTGGCTGGGGCAGGCCAACATTCTTCCAGAATTAGTCCCCAGGCAACCAAAAACACGCTCTGTAGTAGGCTGTAGCTTTGTAGGCAGAGAAAGTGCAGAAGTGTTCCAGAGGCTTCCTTGCATGAAGGGAAGCCTTCCAGACTTGCTTCAGGAATGAAGGGCATGATAAACACACCTAGAATGCCAGGCCCTGAAAGTAAACACATGAAAGTAAACTGTAGAAAGAAGGCTGTCCCGTAGGTAGACCTGACAGGAATTTTCTGTTCTCGCTAAGGATTTCTGTTTGTGACCTGATCAGTGGCCCTGGACCTCACAGAGAATTAAAGAAGCCATAGAAATCTATTGGGAATGAATGAATGAATGAATGAATGAATGAATGAATGAATGAATGAATGAATGAATACAGGCACCAACCAACCAACCAACCAACACATGACTTGTGCGGGGTTTATCTGTTAGTCCTTTCAGGTTAAAGAGAAAACAAATCTTGGAAAAGAACTCTGATCCTCTCAAGCATTCAGACCCTACATGAATTCTCGAAGACAGTGGCTTTTAATAGACTTCAGAATGTCCAGGATAATTGGGTTTATTTAAGTGCATTGCTCATGCGTATTTCAATCTGTTTCCTCCCTTTGCTCTTGTTCTGCTTTCTAGGAATGTGCGCATTATTTTCTGGAGGTCAAAGACAAAGACATCAAGCACGCCTTGGCAGGGCTCTTTGTAGAAATCCTTGTCCCTGTGGCTGCTGTAAGTTGCGTTTTCGTTTCTAACAACTTCTGCAACCTCCATGGATGGCATGCCCAACAGTTTCCTGAGTGGAATATTCTCACAAGTCTCTCTCTACTGTAGGCTGTTAAAAATGAAGTCAACGTCCCCTGCCTCAGGAACTTTGTGGAGAGCCTGTACGATACGACATTGGAACTCTCCTCTCGGAAAAAGCATTCCTTGGTTAGTAACTATAGAAAGAGCCGAGTGCTGTCCCAAGTGGGGAGCCTGGAGCTCCTTGGGAGAAAACTGACTTGGGAGTAGGAAGTGTCCACACACGGGAAAACTGCCTCAGCCTCTCCCGACTTCAGAGCTTGGGTTTAGCACAGGCCGATGCATAACTGTGATAAACGGGGATTACACCCACATCCCCTCAGAGGAATTTTCTAGTCCCGTGGATTCAGCTGTTTATTTAGAGATTGGCTAAACTGAGTTTTTGTTTGAATTTCAGAGAAGTTTTTCAAATCTAAAGGCTAAAGTTTATAATAAGTTTCTCGTCTCCATCCCGGGAATGAGTTTGTGCTGGCTAATTCCTATTTCAACACTCAGAATCAAAACTGAGCCCAGAAGGAGCGAGAGATGACCCACAGGCAAGAGGCGCTGAAGGCTGGTGTTTAATTCTTGAGAAGGCAATATAAAGTGAATTAAACTCTGTTTTATAAGTTGGCAGCAGTGTGCCAGCTATAGTCATGATAGTGTAAGTTCAGAAGCCGGCCACAGGCCTGGCCTATGCTAGTCTCCAAGGTCTGAGCATTCCTGTCAGGGTCTGAGCCAGCACCCAGTTGTTCAGCTGGTAGTAGTGCCAACTTTGCTCATTTGCCTATAGCCTATGGTCATTAGGGCTGACTGCTTGCATTTATTGGCCAGCATTAGAGATGCCTTCAGTGGGCACAGTACTTCAAAGTCCTCTGAGACTAAGTTCATGTCAAGAGCAAGGCTGAGTTGAAGCATGAACCCTAGAAGCTCATCCATCGGCCATTGTTTCTTGCTAGTCCAAGTGAATAGGTGTGTTTCCCTTTAAATCTCCCCTAGCCCTCGAGGTGTGTGCCACCTGGTTAAGCAAAATGATGGTGAGCTGTGTGCGCGTGCTCTTTGGATGGCTGCCTGTCGTTAGCTTTGCTGTCTCCCCAGTTGCTGTGGGAAATGGGCCCAGTTAGACGGGAAAAGCACAGTAGCACCGCTGTTTATTCCGTCATGAACAAATTCCTGCTGCGGTTACGTTTGTCTTGGTAGTGTTTACCAGGACCATAAGAGCTCTTTCAGGAATCCCCCTTAATTACGGGAAGATATATATATTTACCTTCTCCTGAATATACTATATATATAGACATGTACACACACACACCTGCTGCTGCTAAGACAAAGACAGATTACTGGACATTTATGAATAAGTAACATTTCAAACTGAGTGTGCCTTCATGGGTGTCCTAGCGTCTCTGCTCCTGTGGTAAAACACTGACCAAAATCAGAAGAGGAGAAAGAAGCATTTATTTGGCCTAAATATTATAATCCGTTATGGAGGGAAGTCAAGGCAGGCACTGGAGGCAGGAACTGAAGCAGAGACCATGGGGGAATGCTGCTTACTAGCTTGCTCCCCAAAACTTGCTTGCTCAGCTACTTTTTTTATATAGCCTAAGACCCATACATCTAGGGATGGCACCGCCCACAGTGGGCTGTGTCCTCCTATATTAATTAATGATCAAGACAATGTCCCATTAATGCACCCACAGGCCAGTCTGATGGAGACAGTTCTTCAATTAGGTTTCTCATCCCAGGAGACTCTAGTTTGTGTCAAATTGACAGAAAGAAATGGCATGATGGTTGTTTTATTTCTGGTGGTTGAGAGAACAATCTAAAATTCTAAGTTTGCTTTAAGAGTTCATAAGTGAAAACTAAGTTAGTCAGTCAGATTTCTGTATCTTTGGACATGAAACAAACATCTTACTGTACATATATTACTCGCCAGAGTTCTAGATGATTCTATGCAGTCATCATCAGGAAGCACCCATGAGTTCGTGTGTTTGTGCAGCATGTGTTGCATTTATTGGGGCCACATGGCCACAGGAGGATGTGCTGAAGCTATGGGTGCAGAGAATGTATTTCCTGGTTGGTCTGTTGAACTATCAGTCACCCTGTGGCCTCCACTCCTTTCTCCTCAGGCCTTATATCCCCTGGTGACCTGTCTCCTCTGTGTCAGTCAGAAGCAGCTGTTCCTCAACAGGTGGCATGTCTTCCTCAACAACTGCTTGTCCAACCTTAAGGTTAGTATCTGTCAACTTGACCACAGCAGACATCTTCTATGAAAAAAAAAATTCAGTGAGCTGTTGTTGATATTGTGCAAGGACTCCCCAAGTTGCCCGGGCTGACCTCAAATTCACAGTCCTCCTCCCCCAGCCTCTCAGAGTGCTGGGATTACAGATGTGACCCACCATTCCTTGTGCTACAATGAAATTCTTAAGGGAACATATTCATCTGCTTAAAAATGAAAGAAATCTCTGCTGATTTGGGGCAAATACATCTGCTCTAGTATGAATCACTCTAAAGATAGAATAAAAACCATAGTACATACGTATCTTGGTATATAATTGTCTTCCCATGTATCTAAGTGATAGGGGATGAAATGATTGTTACACTTAGCTGATCTGGACATGCGAAATTATCTCGGATACCCCGTGACACCTCTGTCCCTTTTGGTGGAGGTAGATATTTTAGAAACACGAGCTCTGTTCTGTGGGCTCTGGCAGAGGGCATCGTCTCCTGCCATTCCTGCCTGTGATCTGTGTACTACACACTTACTGCTCTTCAGGTGGCGAGCACAGGTGTTGGGAGATAGGATGCATAAAGCCACAGCCCCTGGGACCAAGGAGCTATAGTTAATACAGTTATAATAACTAGCTTTGAAATTGACTTTGAATCAAGTAGAAACATTCTTTCAATTTTAGTGATCAACTGACACAAGGCAGCTTGACGAGAATCCTCTGTAACATGAGAGCAAATTCTCCTGGTATGGTAATGCGTGCCAATAATCCAAGCTCTCTGGAGAAGCTGAGGCAGGGGGATCACAAAGTTGAGATGAGACTGAACTATATATAGCAAGACGATTTTCTTTTTCAAAAAAGAAAAACCACAGGGGCTGGAAAGATGGCTCAGTAGTTAAGAGTATTAGCTGTTCTTCCTAGGATCAAGGTTCAGTTTCCAGCGTCCCCATGGTGACTCGCAATTATCTGTCACAGTTGTGACAGATAAAGGTGCAGGAGACCTGATGCCCTCTTCTGGCCTCTGTAGATGTCGGACACATTGGTAGTGCATAGATACACATGCAGGCAAGAAACTTAGGCACATAACCTAAAATAAATGAATCTTTACAAATCATTTTTTAAAAATGTAATAAAGTGTAAATCAAAAGAATTCTTCACAGTCTCACCCATGTCCAAAGCTGTGATTCGGCTTCCATCTCAGACTCAATGTTTGCTACTTTTATTTTAAAAAAATAATAATAACTAAAAATTCTTGCATATGCTTGTACATGTTGACTCATTTTGTGTGTATGTGTGGGCTTTTTTTTCCTCCAAGGCTTTTTAATTTGGAGGAGTAGTTAAGATTAATTATGTTATTTTGTTATTTACTGTAATTATATAATAATCTACATGGGCCTGATCTCAGCGCTATGTCCTGGCTCTAAGAACTGATTATGAAATTCAAGATTACAACTGTTCATTTCCTTCAAGTTGGGGGTGAAATCTAATAGTGGCAGGTAGAGAGTGAGGCTTTCAGGAACACACAAACTGAAATGCCTTTCTGGTCATCAGTGGTTTCATAATGTCCACTCCCGGGCATTTATCTCCCGGTCATTTAGCAATCAGCTGCACTAGCTAAAAGCCTCCCAGTACCACTTTCCTTATGTGAGACACTTTTGCAGTTACTAATTCTAATATTTGCAATGTATCTTTTAAGATATGTAAAGTAGCCATTTTGTTCAAAACTAACACAGGATAGTTAGTTTTTGTCATGATAACACTTAGAGTCCCGTAGGAAGAGGGAACCTGAGCTGAGGAATTGACTTCATCAGATTGGCCTATGAATAAGTCTGTGGGATATTCTTGATTTGGAGTAGTTAAGATTATGTTATTTCATTGTTTACTGTAATTATATAATAATCTACATGAAGAGGGGCAGCTCATGGTAGGCAGTGCCACCCCTGGGCACTTGGTCCTGGGTTCTATAAGAAAGTAGGCTGAGAGCTGAGAAATGGCTCAGTCATTAAAGGTTAACTCATGACCAAAAATGTAACAAAGCACCCGGAGCTAGCCATGAGGAGCAAACCCGTAAGCAGCACCCCTCCATGGATTCTGCATCACTCTCTGCCTCCAGCTCCTACCTTGGCCGGATGATGGGCTGTAAGTTATAGGCCCAAACCCTTTTCCTTCCCCAAGTGGCTTTTGGTCCATGTTCTATCACAGCAACAGGAAGCAACTAGGATGGAATTCATGTTTGATGATTAAGAATGCTTATAACACAGCTTTCTGGATATACTGAATGCATCTGGAGTTAAACATTAAAATATTTTGTACAGTAATTTATTGCTGTGGCCAAAAGAGCCATTTTGGGGTTGGTCCGAGTTGTTTATGAAACAGAGCAGGGCAGCCTTCTCTGAAAATTAGTGATTTCAAAATTAGAATATTCTTTTGTTTTGTTTTTTGTTTGTTTTGTTTTGTTTTTAGAGACAGGATTTCTCTGTGTAGCCCTGGCCGTCCTGGAACTCACTCTGTAGACCAGGCTGGCCTCGAACTTAGAAATCTGCCTGCCTCTGCCTCCCAAGTGCTGGATTAAAGGCATGCGCCACCACTGCCCGGCTAGAATATTCTTTAGTGCACCTGTCAAACCTTGGCAGAACAACCAACTAAAGGGTTATAAACTGTCCTGGGAAAAACATGAGTGTAGGCTCAGACAATGTTTCCCTACACAGGCATTTCACATGTTAGAAGGTTCAGAAAGCTAGAAGCTGTAAGATCAGAATGAGCCTGTGGTATCAATGCTACAAAGACTGAAACACGTTCCAAACTCCAGCTCCAGTCTCCAGGCTTTGCACCATACCCTCTGTTGCTGTGTCTTGGAGTGAGATGCACAGGGGAAGAGCCTTGTGTCAAATGTGGGCACTGGACAGACTCCATCTGTGAAGAGCTCAGGGTTGTATTTTGTAGAAGTTTTGTACCCCAGGAAACATGGAAGAGCTACTTGTTAGCCAAGATAAAGGCAGGGAGTGGGCTGGTGAGATGCTTCAGCAGGTGGCCCATAACTCCAGCTCATGGTATCTGACGCCCTCTTCTGGCCTGCATAGATACCTGCACACATGTACACACACATACTTAAAGTATGAATCTTTAAAATAAATAAATGTATTCAAATCCAGGTATGATAATGGCACTTGTGATCCCAGGATCTGGGAGACTGAGGCAGGAGAATTGCCATCTTCCCAGCCTCCTTGTCTCCCACCTCCCATCTGGGCTTCTTTCATTTATAAATTTAGTAACAAGGTCTTATTCGATATCCCAGCCTGGGCTATATATAGTTTTCAAGCCAGCCTGGGATATATAACAAGATCCTTTTTGTTTGGTTAGTTGGTTTTTCGAGACAGGGTTTCTCTGTGTAGCCCTGGCTGTCCTGGAACTCACTCTGTAGACCAGGCTGGCCTCGAACTCTCGAACTCAGAAATCCGCCTGCCTCTGCCTCCCAAGTGCTGGAATTCAAGATGTGTGCCACCACTGCCAGGCCTAGGTTATCTATATGGATGGTAAATTGCTAGAAGCTGATGACCCAGTGGAAAAAGATATTCAAAAGTTGCTTGATGAATTTCAAGCAGAATCAAGTCATATAGCTTACAATTAAATCTGAGCCCAGTACAAATTAGATAGAACTGTTCCTAATGCCATTAATACGTAGAACACATTCTAACGCCCATCTTATGCGTTCCGTAGGGAGAAGATGCCTGAAGAAAACTTGGCTTCAAATGTAAACTTTACCTTAAATATCTTCAGGGGTTTATATTTTCAATTACACCATTCCATTTGAAAAGGGATCAAACCCTCCTGCGGGTACCTCCTTCACAGTCTTCCCCCCACTTTCCTCTCTATCCTTCAGATGCTTCAGGGTAAGGGGCCCAGCGTTTGTGTTCTCCATGTTATCCTGGTAGCTTCTGCTGGTACGTACTGCAGAGCCGAGCTGGCGAGGGACACCGTGCCTTGAGTGAGGTAGAGGGCTGTACACACAGTCGCATATTCTCAAAGGAAACATCATTTGACATCAGGAGCCCTTAGTCTGTCCAAAACATTGAGACTGAGAGGAACAGGCTGCCTTGGGAGCACAGCCATGAAGTCTTAGGTATTTATACTTAGTTAACTTAGTCACCCATGAAGTCTTAGTTAACTTAGTCACCCATACTTATCAGTACGCTACTGTGGTGTGATGGGGACTTACCGTTCCTTGTCGTTGAGATATCCCCTCTCAGGCACTCCTGGTCAGTGATTTTTGTCTGTTATGTTTTAGGTTAGCATCTGGACATACTGACAGGGAGAGGGAGAGCATGCAATTGATGTGTGCATTTGTGTCTGTCATACAACACTTAACTGGAAACGAGGACACATGCTTTGAAAAGTTACTGATAACTTTTAGAAGGTCCTGTCCATCACACTGACTACTGTATGCTGATTTCTTGTGCTTCAAGCTGTGTAGTTCAGACCATTCCAAATTCTATTTTCTTTTTATGTCTTTTTTTTTCAAAGATTTATTTATTTTGTTTATGTGAGCACACTGTCGCTGACACACCAGAAGAGGGCATCAGACCCCATTACAGATGGTTGTGAGCCACCATATGGTTGCTGGGAATTGAACTCAAGACCTCTGGAAGAACAGCCAGTGCTCTTAACCCCTGAGCCATCTCTCCAGCCCAAATTCTCTTTTCTTGAACAATAACAATAAAATAATATACCAGTGAGGCCCAGATTTTTTTAAGGGAAAGAAAGAATCCTTAGAGGTCAAGAAAGTCCCTTACTGAGCTGGCTCTGGTTAAGATCCCTGGCAGGACCCATAGAAGGAGTAGAAAGAGAGGATTAAGAAGGACGGCATGGGGGCTTGCTGGCCAGTCAGGATCTTCCTAGTAGAGTTTTCGAGGGTAATTTAGGGAATTGCAAAAGGACGCTATGATATGAAAGGTACCTTACCTTGAGGTAGGGGCAGAGGTGGTCCTGGCGAGGCAGGTCCATAATGCCCCTCAAGTTCATATGCCTCTGGAGGGCTTTAAATACAAACGTAACTTTTTTATTTCTTGTACTTTAAGTGTATCATTTGACCATACAAAGATCAGAAGACAGGTGATGAACTGGATGCAGGCATCACTGATAGCATCCTGAAATGGCAAAGTCAGTTACACTACCTACTCTCTGGGCAGAACAAGTAAAAATTTAAGCCAACCACATTGCTGTTCACTCTTTAGGAACAAGAGGAATATTTGTTTAGAACAATAGAAATGTTGTTCCTAAAGAATGAACATATAGGGGCTGGAGAGATGGTTCAGTGGTTAGGAGCACTCACTGCTCTTCCAAAGGTCCAGAGTTCAATTCCCAGCACCCACATGATAGCTCACAGCTATCTGGTGCTGTTTTCCAAATCCCCAAAATGCCGTTAGAGATGCAGGTGCAGATGTACATGCAGACAGAGTACCCATATTCATAAAATGAATATAAAAATAAATCTTAAAATTAAAAAAGAGTGAAAAGCATAGTCTTTTTGTTTTCTTTTTGGAACAAGGTCTCACGTAGCCCATGCAGTAGAGCCCGACTTCTTACCCTCTGTCTCTCCATCCTAGTGCTCAGACAAGCATGCCACCCCACATCCAGCTTTATGCAGTGTTAAAGACTGAACCCAGGGCTTCGTGCATGCTGTCCAGGCATTCCACACACTGAGTTACATTGGTAACCAAGCATAGTCTTTTGCATGAAAGAACATCAGTGAAAATCAGCTATACCAACAATGCTGGAAGAAAGAAGGACAGAAGGACTGCTAAAATGAAGTTGAGGGGCTAGAGAGATGGCTCAGCAGTTAAGAGCACTGGCTGCTCTTACTGAGGACCCAGGCTCAGTTCCCAGCAACCACATGGCGGCTCACAACCATCTCTAATGGCAGTTTGGGGATTCAATGCCCTCTTCTGGTTTCTTCAGGTATTGCACCCATGTGGCACATATATGCAGGCTAACATTTATAAACATACTTTTTTTTTTTTTTAAGTTGAAATTAAACCAAACACGATTGAGAAAAGCCACTGGAACTATAGATCTCAGTCCACAGTCAGGTTGAGAGGATACAGGCCTTCACGATTTATGAGAGAATTTCAGATGATATACTGTGCACTATACACACTAAAAAGGGAACTCAGTAAGGGAGAGATGGTTCCACTGGGACAGAGGCTTTCAAAAGACAGGGTCTTATTCTCCCCTGCTCCCTGGTACTTGATTAGGCTTATTCTGGAAAGGTAGAGTGGGGTATGCCTCCCATCTTTTAACTCTCAAAATGCTCCTGTAAGGTGCACGTGAGTATCACATGAGTCTCACAGACTCAGAAAGTAAAGAGCTTCCCAGAGGCTGGCCACACCTCTAAAGCATTAGAGGCAGGTAGATTCGAACCTAGCTGAGGTCAGAGGCTGCTTTTCAACATTATGCAAGAACACTAGAGACAGACAGTTGCTGATGTGGGTCCCGACTGTGTAGTCTCATTAAATGAGAAGAGAATTTACATGTAACTTTATTAGTTTCGACCCCACTTAACAATTCAAAGCACTGTACAAATCAGATCATTAGCAGACAGAAAAAAAGTATTTTAAAATTTGTATATAAACAGGCACTTCTCAAAAGCTGGATCCCACCCCACTTGACGCTAGACAAGCACATGTAACATTTACATAGAAGGGCAGGCATGTGAGAACATGAAAAACTTTTTAAAAATTTTTTTGTCTTTAAATATTACTATACTTGTTATTGGTTTTTAAGATCTGGTGCTGGGTACTGGACTTAAGCACTGTGCACGACAGGCAGCCATTTAATCCTCAAGCTTCACCCCAAGACCGTATTATGCAGTTTCTTTTTTTCTTTAAATTTTCTTACAGGCATATATTGTATCTTGATTTTATTTCCTATACACACCCCATTCCTCCTACCCCCTTTTTCCTTATCAATTCCCTCCATCTCCTAGATAATTTCACTTCTACTTTTATTTAATTTTCACAAACTTTATGTGACTGTAAAAAACTTAGGATCACAAGTGAGCAAGAACATGTAATGTTTGTCTTTCTGGGACCGGCTTAATCCACTCCATTTGGTTATCTCTGACTGTGCCTATTCGCCTACAGCTAACCTAACTTTGCTCCTCTTTGTGGCCGAGAAGAAATCCTCTTGTTTATGTATCGCATTTTTCCTTGTCTATTTCCCGTTGCCGGATGCTGCAGGGACCGTTGATATACATGCTTCTCTGTGATGTGACCAGGTCCAGTCCTACTGCCTAAGTCAACTAGGGTGTGACGTCTGGGTAAATGTACAGGCGTGCTCTATCTGGGTCTGGCGGTAGAACTGCTTAAAAAGTCGTCAAAAGTAGATGTACCAGATGTTAAAATGTATTATGACTTTACTAATTAAATTAATATATATTCACATTTGGGTCGACAAATAGAACAATGAATAAATACATAAAATAAGCTAGGAGCAGATACAAATATATAATGACAAATAATGATATGCAATAATTAATATTACCATATCAGTATTAATTAGTTCTGTTATTAATGTTTGCTATATTTATTATATAGTATGTAGTGTATAGTATAACCTATTAATATTAATAATAAAACAAAATGGGAGAAGATAAAGATACAAATACTCTCCCACCCTAAAGAAACGGGAGCCCGGGATGGAGAGATGGCTCAGTGGTTAAGAGCACTGACTGCTCTTCCAGAGGTCCTGAGCTCAGTATTCAGCAACCACATGGTGGCTCACAACCATCTGTAATGAGATCTGATGCCCTCTTCTGGCACACAGGTGTACTCATAGATACTCATACATTAAATTTAAAAAAACTTAAAAATTTTTTCTCTGTGTCTAGGTTGTAGTACATCTTAGTCTCACTAAGCATTCGAGTCATTCAGATGGAATCGGGGATAGAAAAATCAGAACAATAAGTCCGTGAAAAGACGTCATCTGTCATGGGAAGACCATCCGATTCTTCTGTAAATGCTATGCGATTATACCAGTTGTCTTCTTGAGTTTCCATGTTGACAAAAGACAGAGCAAGGACTTCCTGTGGCATTCCCCTGTCTCACTATCATGGTTATAACCATGGATTATTTATCCAGTGAACACTGGGAGGCAGATAGATGGTCCAGGTGACCCAGATGGTGACATATACCTTATATGTGCCAACCCCCAACCCAGTTGGCCCTCGCCATGCTTAGGGAAGACCCTCTTGCACAGGCCACGTGTACATTCAATTAGTAACCTTACAATTTGCGTTCTGTTACAGAATAAAGACCCCAAAATGGCTCGTGTCGCCTTGGAATCGCTCTACAGATTACTGTGGGTTTACATGATTCGAATCAAATGTGAAAGCAACACGGCCACTCAGAGGTAAGGACGGGCGAGCGTGAGTGCGGGGTGAGCCGGGCGCTAGAGTCAGGCTTGCTAAGCTACCACACTGCACCCCGTGTTCTCCTAACCTGGTCTGGCTAAAACCTGCTCAGAGCCGACAGGTCAGGTCCTGCGAGACCTGAGGCCTCAGAACTTCACCACTGCCTTAGCCGTCTTTGCTGAAGCATCAGCCTCCGCCAGGACAAGGTCTCCACAGAGTCTGCTTCTGTGTGGCACACGGCACTTTGAGGAAGTGTTTCTTATTTTCCAGCTATTCTGAGTTTTCAAAAAATAAAAGAATCTCTTCCTAGAGTAATTGTGCCAATGGAAAGGGCTGAGGTGGATTTTTGAGTTTTGTTGTTGCTGTTGTTTTGTTTTTTAAATCCTCTGATACTAAGATGAAATTTGCATCATCTCCCTGACAACAAGATTTCAGCCAATCTTGCTTGTTTTCTCTTTTTCGCCCGCCCTTATCTTCCAGCCGACTCATAACCATCACCACCACGCTTTTCCCCAAAGGGTCCCGCGGCGTGGTGCCCAGGGATATGCCCCTGAACATCTTCGTGAAGATCATCCAGTTCATCGCCCAGGTGACGCTCCTGTTTCTGCAGCGACCCCTTCAGGCATAGTAATCGTGTAAAAAGACCACAATGATCCTTCATGCGTCCAGACGTCTTAGAGAGGGATTGTTTCCTCACACAATTTATTCTTTTATTTCAAAACAGTCAGTGAATACGTTAAATGCCTTTGGCCTCTAGGAAATAAACTGAGAGATGAAGTTTAACTGATTCTTCCAAGGTCACACAGCACAACAGTAAAACCTCCATAGCACAGAGAAGGTCCTGCCTGGGTCAGTCCCAACCACGACAGAACAGAGAAAACTCTTGTGCCAGAAACTCTAGAGTCTCTCTTCCCACTTTCCCCAGATCTCTGCTCTGTATTTCACAAGTAAAGAGGAGTCAAAAGCTCTGATATTTGGCAGAAATTTAATCTAATATTTTTTTAAAAGATGATGTAGTGGAATTGAGGAATAAATAGTAATTTTCTAATGTTTCCCTATGGGGAGAAAATAATTTCATGGGGAATTTACCCACTTTAATCCTTTGCTCAAAACTAGTCTAGGCACTTTATACATGAATTAATTTGCTTTTAAACAGATTCCAGTAATATTAAAGCTGGTTTGGCTGTAATTTATTATTCAGAGATAAAATTTTTACTAAGATCATTTACTTGGGGGAGGGGTTGGTGGACTGAGCCCAAGACCCGGCTCATACCAGCATGTACTCTACTACTGAATTGCTTCCCAAGGCTACTGTTTCATTTATTTGTTGGTGTTTATGTATTTACTTATTTGCTTATTTATTTTGGAAACATTGCCTCCTTATTTAACCCTGGCTGCCTACACCTAGCTCTGTACACCAGGCTGACTTCAAACTCACCTAGCTCTGTCTCTTACGTGCTGGGCTTAGAGGCACGAATCACCAAGCTATCTTTTTCTTTTTAAAATACTTGGTGAGTAAATTGTTTACCCCCACTTTGACCTCTATGACTTGCAAAGGCACTGGGAGTCTCCGGCACTTGCCTGGCCTCTGTCACAAACCAAACCCTCTACCTCAAACTAAAAGTATCTTCTGTCTCAATTTCTTTATCTGTAAAGCAAGGGTAGAAATGTTTTCCCGTTATGCCTCAGAATATTATATGACTGAAAGGAAATTACAGGCATGTAAGTGCTGCAGAAGTACAGTTGGTATTGATATAAAAATAAACAGTTCAAAGCAGAGATTATTTGGAAAGTAGCATCTCTCTCTATTGTGGCCAATGAGAGAACTCTTTAATGTGTATCCTTAGAGAACGTGAACTCCTTACTCTGCAGGTGGAAAGTTTCATATGGATTTTCCAAATGTATCCTCGAAGTGTATGTGCTTTAACTATGAACATGCCATACACATTAGTGACTACTAATTAGTGACTAATGTGTATGACCAGGCTCTACTTTAAATGCTGTGTCTTGTGTGTTAATTCTTCTTGCCCCTTGGGTTTGATTTTTATAAAGAGGCCAGAGGATGTTTTCAATGTTAAAGGATAAAGAAAAACAGCCATTTTGTAGTGATACTATTAAAAATATATTTCTCAGCTGAGTTTCAAAATACTACCAATATTCATCATACCAACAGGAAGAACCCAGGCTGTTTCGGGTCAGATGCCCAGGTGCCCTGTTGGTTTGGTATTTGCTTCTGCACCTCCAGCCTCACTGTTCTTACTGAGCTGATTCTGTGTGACCCTGCATCATGGTGGCTCCCTGGACAGTTCTGATGGCCCTGGGCTTTCTTCAGGGGCTCTCCATGACCCAAAACACTAGGCCATAGCCCTTCCAGAAGCCACTTGTTTGCTGCATATAGTTAAAACTTGCGTCTTGTGTTATTCTTGGTATTCTGTGTTTTTTATTTTATTTTTCTCTCCCAACCCCCACCAGGAACGTCTGGACTTTGCAATGAAGGAAATTATTTTTGATTTTCTTTGTGTGGGAAAACCAGCCAAAGCTTTCAGTCTCAACCCAGAGGTATGAAAGACTCTCTATGGAAACAGAGCACATGTTCACAGAGCCCATACCTTTGCTCTGAAGGTCTCCAGGCTCCCATGGGGGTGGGGATCCCATGGGGGCGGGGATCCCATGGGGGCAGGGATCCCATGGGGGCAGGGATCCCATGGGGGCGGAGCTCCCATGGGGGCTGGGTGGGGGAACACCTCTTGAGAGTTTTCTGTGTGTTTCTGCTCCTCTTCAGATTTGAGCGTCAGTTTTTCAGAGGTAAAATTTGAGGTGAGCTGGTTGAGGATGACCCAGTACCCGTGTGCTGTGATCCTCTCTTCTTTTAAAATAGAATCATTGTCACTTCAAAGACGGTGTTGAAACAGATGAGTAAATGCGGTAGAAGTGCTTAGTGGAGTTAGGGAACCCGAAAGAAGCACATGGTGCTCTGACAGCACCCCAGCTTCCTACACACCTATGGAATGCTTGGCTCTGCAAATGAGTGGCAATCCAGCTTTACATTAAAAAAAAAAACCACCTTCAGCCAATAGAACCCCAGCCCTGCTGCCTCTCTGCAGCCCTTATTCTGTGCAAAGATTGAAAGAACACTGGGCCCAAAGCCTAGAAGCCAGCTCTGCCGCTTGTCACGGAGCTCTGCTGCTTTTCCTAGGTGTGTGACATTGACTTCTGACTCTCAGCTATTCCACTAGTAAAATGGACAGAGTACTTTCCTAGGTTCCTTCACGGAAGAGCGGGTCTGGGCCTAAAGCATTGCAGACTAAAAAGGGAAGGAAGGAGAGAAGGGGGAGGAAAAGTGAAGTAAGGGAGAAGAGAGAATTCACACGCTGGAGAACAGATCTCTGAGCACGTATCTCTGTCATCTGTAATACCCTGGCCTCTTCATTCCATCATTACGAAAGTCAGTCCATAGGGCAGAGGCCCAGCATAGCTTGTTAGCGACCCCAACTCACCCCTGCAGCCCCTGCCTCTTTCCACCATACCCTACATTGTCTGGTGGCTGATGACCTCACAGGCCTCTGGAGTGGCTGCTGTCACAGCAGGTCAGGAGGAGGTCAAACCCAGGGCCGGATGGAGACCCCGAGCTGGACAGTAACAGACTTCTCTTGGTGGCAACATTCTCAACATCTTTTTCATTTCTCTGTAGTTGTAAGTCTACTATTTTAATAATTCTCAGAATTACTGGGTTACTCAGTAATACTCTGAATTATTGTTGCCCTAGTCAGGGTTCCTATTGCTGTGATCAAACACCATGACCAAAAGCAAGTGGGGGAGGAAAGGGTTTATTTGGCTTACACTTCCACATTATAATCCATCACCGAGGGATGTCAGAACAGGGGTTCAAACAGGGCAGGAACCTGGAGGCAGGAGATGATGCAAAGGCCATGGAGGGGTGCTTTATACTGGCTTGCTCCTCATGCCTTGCTCAGCCTGCTTTCTTATAGAACCCAGGACCACCAGCCCAGAGTGGCCCAACCTACAACAGGCCAGGCCCTCCCACATCAATCACTAATTTTAAAAATGCCTACAGACTGATCTTATGAAGGCATTTTCTCAACTGATGCTCCCTCTTCTCCAGTCTCTCTGGCTTGTGTTAAGTTGGCACAGAACTAGCCAGCACTTGTCCAAAGCGAGCATCTCTCATGCTGCTTCTGTGCTGAGTGTGCTAACACTCACCTGTCATCTCAGTCCCTTAGAGACTGAGCCAGCAGGATGGTGAGTCTAAGCCCAGACTGGCCTGCCTAGCAAGACCCTGTCCTAAACAAGCAGAGCACTCATAGTCACCAGCACCTGGAGCATTTGTCCTTGTGCCTGTCTCTAAAGTCTTCATCCAGGCAATGGCTTGTTGACTCATCCATCTGTGAAGAGCAGCCAAAATTGTGGTTGAAAGGGAAAATCGAGTAGGAAAAAAGATTCCAGTCTTCCATGTCTCTTTATCCTTATTACTTTATTACCTTTATTTCCTACTGTGATTTATTCATCGAGTGTGCATGCACACATGTGTGCGTCATGGTACAAGTGTGGCGGTCAAAGGACAACTGGGGGCGTCAGCTCTCTCCTTCGTGGGTCACAAAGCTCAAACTTAGACTGCCAGGTTTGGCAGTAAGTGTCTCTGCCCACTGACTCAGCTTGCCAGCTCCCTTCCACGCCTCTTCCTCTTGTAGGAGAATAGAAGAATTTGCCTATTAGTAGCTGCTGTTGTAAACCATCAGAGTACACATATCCAGCGTGGCTGCAGGGAAAGGCCTGCCTGGGGCAGAGAGGTAATGAAGAAAAGACAGACACAGAGGAACCCAGGACATAAATCTGGGATCTGGGTGGTCTGGGCTCTTAACTAAAGAAGCCACAGCTTTCTGGAAGCCCAGCATGTTTATTACAGAGTTGAACAGCAAGGCAGGGTTATAGCATACAGCTGGACAAAGGAAACAGGGTTATTACTTACAGATAAACAAGGAGGTAGCCGGATCAAGGGGATAGGTTTAGCTTTCAGCAGGAGCAGCCTCTGTAGGGCAGCAGTCTTCAGGTCATAAATATCCAATGGGGAGAAAACTACATACATCAGACATGTTCTGTGCATACTGTCTTACTCACACTCGGCCCACTGAGGAAGTCTTGCCATTTTCCTCTGATCCTCACTCCAGGAGGGGAAGGCTTTGCATTTCTCCATGGGTCTGAGGCTCTGAGGTCTTTGAGATAGCCAGCTCATGTGCACACACACACACACACACACACACACACACACACACATACACATACACACACACACACACTCGGGATTTAACTTTAGGTTTCTCACTTCCCTATACAGATCCCATTCAGATACAGTCATTCAGCAGTCAGAAGTTGTGTTTACCGACAGCGATGAAAAATGCTGCTGTTGGGTACAGTTTTTAGAGAACAAAACAAGATTGGCCTATTGGGACTTGCTTATCTGTGTGATTGTTTGTGTGATTCCGTAGAGTCTCACACTGGTCTTGAACTTGCTGTATTCCTGAGTGTGACCTGTCCCAGCCTCTGAAGTGCAGAAGCTATGAGCTAACGCCATCATCTCTGGCTCCATAATGGTTCTTAAATAATGTTTTGGAATAGTTTGTGTAACAAGGCTCAGAGACCTAAAGGGTTATCCTAATATCAAGTGTGTTGAGCATAAACTCAACAGTTGGGTAGTTTCTAGATAATTGTCTGACTGGGTTTGGGCCCGGAATGTGTTCTGTATACGTGTTCATCATCATGAGATGTGACATACCTGTGACATGAACTTCTAGGCTGACAGTTTCTCTCTCTTTTGCCCTGATCTAAAAGAACATGGAATTAAAGGCAACTGGAGGCAAGAAAGGAAAAACACTGTGTGCTGATAGATTGGAAATGAAAACATAAAGCTGTTTTTATCCGTGGGCAACTATTGTAGAAAGCTGCAAAAAAGCCGCGCTTGGTGGGACACACCTATAATCCCCCAGCATTTGAGAGACGGAGGCAGCAGGATCGGGTCCGTGGTCATCCTTGATTACGTAGGGAGTTCAAGTCCATCCTCAACAGCGTGAGACCTTGTAACAAGGAAAACAATGTCAGCACAAATAAAGATAGCACTATTTAAAAAGAGAGAGAGAGACAGAGAGAGAGAGAGAAGAGAAGAAAATACCAATTGATTTAGAGCTGATGCATGACTTTAGGAAGTTTGCAAGATACAAAATAAATAATATATTTGTATAATCTAATAATGAATAATCAAATTAAACAATTTGCAGTATTGATGAAAAGCAAAATACCTGGCAATAAAACAAAATATGCACACTACTTTTTATCCCAAAAATTAAAAAATATTGAAAGAAGACAAAGACCCAAATAAGTAGAGATAAGTACTATTTATAACAAATCAAAAGATTGGCTATTGTTGAGTTCTGTTGTCCCCAAACTAACTTAAATACATTATTATCTTTTTTCAAAGATTTATTTATTTATTTAATGTATATGAGTTCCCTATCTTCATGTATTCCTGCATGCTAGAAAAGAGCATTTGATCACATTACAGATGGTTGTGAGCCACCGTGTGGTTGCTGGGAATTGAACTCAGGACCTCTGGAAGAGCAGCCAGTGCTCTTAACCACTGAGCCATCTCTTCAGCCCATATGTTATCATATTAATAATATTATCTTAATAAGACTGTCATCTTAATAATAGACAGAGTCCCTATAGCTTCTTTTAAGCTAGAAAGCAAATGAAGTGGTTTTAGATTTTTCTATGGAACATCAGTCTACTAAAATAACCAACATAGCTTAGAAATAGAATAAGAAAGTTAGACTATAAAATCATGTGATCACCCAATCAGTATAGAGTTAAAGGGTCCATGAGGATGGAGACGCTAGAGATAGACCCGCAGGTGAATGCTTGGTCGATTTCAACAATAGGAATTTATTCAACGCATAGAAATCTTTGCTCTATGCGGTGCTAAGCAATTGGATACCTACCTTGCAAAATCATGAATTCTGGGCCATAATTTTCACTGTAAGCAAAGACAAGCTCAAACTAGATCATGCAACCTAAGTAGAAACCCAACACTGTATGTCTTCCAGAAAACAAATAACATAAAAACCTCTAGGATCCTTGAGTGGGCAAAACTTTCTAGAACACAAAATCATAAACCACAGAAGGTTAATAGATTGAATATATGTTTTAAAGTTTGCATGTTGCTAAGATAATTAACAGAGAGTCATAGCATGGGAGAAAATATTTTTGACAAACCCCAACAAAGCACTTCCTTCCAAAATATATAAAGAACTCTTATAATCAACAAGAAGGAAGTAAACAACACACTATTAAAGCGAGCAAAAGCAATGGCCTCTTCGACAAAGAAGAGAGAGAGGCAGCCAGTAAGTCGAGGAAAAGGTGGTCAGTGTCACTGGCCTCTGGGGAAACATAAGATAAAATGGAGGGTAGGGTACACTGGGGTGGGCTCTAGAGAGCAAGAGCTTCGTGCAGTCCTGAGACTGTGATTCAGAGAGCAAGTGCCTTGCTGAGTCCTCACTTGAATCTTTAGCTGATGCCCTTAGGAATGGCGTGTCTCCTCACCTGCCCGTGTGTGGTCATGGGTTTAATAACCTTCAGTTTTTAAATTTTATTTTCAAACTTGCTGGTCTTTACAGTCAGAGATCAGTAATAGATGTTGGCTGGGCGTGGTGGGGCACACCTCTTAAAAAACAATTTATTTATTTATTTATTTATTTATTTACTTTACATCCCAGTATCAGCCCCCCCTCTTCTCCCAGAACCTTGTCTCACAGATCCTCCCCCATTTCCCTTCCCTTCTCCTCTGAGAAGGGAGACCCCACTATGGGTATCTCTCCCCTTACCCCCAACACATGAAGTCATTTCAGGACTAGGCATATCCTTTCCCACTGAGGCCAGACAAGCATCCTAGTTAGTGCAATGGGGTCCACAGTCAGGCAACAGATCCAGGGACAGCTTCGGCTCCAGTTGTTGGGGGAACTGCATGAAACCAAGCTGCACATCTGCTACATATGTGCAGTGAGAGGCAGACAGCTAGGCCCAACCCACGCTCACTCTTTAGTTGGTGATTCAGTCTCTGGGAGCCCTCAAAGGTCCAGGTTAGTTGACTCTGTTGGTCTTCCTGTGGAGTCCCTGTCCTCCTCAGGTCCCTCAGTCCTTCCCCCAAGGCTTCCATAAGACTCCCCAAGCTCCATCTAATGTTTGGCTGATAGATTTCTGGGAGTTGAGGCCAGTCTGACCTACCTAATGAATTTCAAGCCAGCCAGAGCTACACAGTGATTTATTTAGCTCAAAATAAATAAGTAATAGCTATTTCATTTGTGGTTCATATTTGGTCCGAATAGTTTCACACAGTCTTTAAATTAAAACCTGAAGTGTCTCTTTTTGTGAAGCATTTGGGTCTGTTGTGTAACTCAGTTTACCTTAGTCACAGCTGCTCACAGAGTGACTACCGATCTCTTTTGGTATTCCCTTCTACACACACACACACACACACACACACACACACAAACACACACACACCTTTAACAGATGTGTGCCCATTTCAAACATGCCCCCCAAGTTTGGTGAGCATCTTCCTGCCTATTTATTCTTGAGATAAACCCTGACGGAATCTTCTAGAAGTCTGGGCCTTTCCATTTGTCTATTCCAGAGAATGAACATCGGTTTGCGGGCGTTCCTGGTGATTGCCGATAGCTTACAACAAAAGGATGGTGAGCCGCCCATGCCAGTGACAGGAGCTGTGCTGCCTTCAGGAAACACCCTGAGAGTAAAGAAAACGTATTTGAGTAAGACTCTAACTGAAGAGGAAGCCAAAATGATAGGTGGGTACGAACCCCTTACAAATCATTATCAGGTCCTTACTGTAAGTGAGCTGTACTCAAAAAAACAAAAACAAAACAAAAAAATAGCAAAAATTTGCCAAGTATCTGGTGAGACATTCCTGCGCAGTTGTTGCCTGATTCCCAATGGGTTCCAATCTTGGAGCCCTTTAAACTCTTTAGGACTTCCAAAATAAAGTAAATAGTTTGTCACTTAGATGTTGGCCTTCATCTGGGCCCAGGTAAACATCTAATATTGGTTATTAGTTGTCTACATTGTACAGTAAGTTTCCACGATCTCTGTATGTTTTGGCAAATAATCTTATTTATGATTTTTTCATTAATTCATATTTCAAAGAAGATTCCTTCCCTTCTTTTTTCTATTTCTTTTTTGAAAGTAACGTTGGTCTAATTTGTATTGTAAGCATGCCAAGTCCCACAAACACTGCAGGAGAAGTTTTCTCTCTCTGATATATCTTCCTGAGTCCAAAGAGGTGATTTTTTTTTTATACTTGTTTGTTCCCTTTTAAGTACTCAAATTTAGAAACAGTTTCTAAATTCCAAAGATCTGAGAGAAACACATGCAGAACTCTTCATTTTAACTTTGGTCTTCTTAGGCTGGAGAGTTCAAGACACTTCATGTGTAAGAAATGACTCTTGGTACTTATTTTGCTAACTTATGATACGGAACACTTCTCATTTGATTTGTATGTGTGTGAGTGTGTGTGTGTGTGTGTGTGTGTGTGTGTGTGTGAATGTATTAGTATGTGTATATGTGTGAGTGTGTGTGTATGTGAGTGTGAGTATGTGAGTGAGTGTGTGTGTGTATGTGTGACTGTGTGTATGTGAGTGTGTGAGTATGTGTGAGTATGTGAGTGCATGTATGTGTGAGTGTGTATTGTGACTGTGTGTGTGTATTGTGAGTGTGTGTGTATTGTGAGTGTGTGTGTGAGAGTGCCTGTGTGTGTGAGTGTGTGTATGTGTGAGTGTGTGAGTGTATATATGTGTGAGTGTGTGTATGTGTTAGTATGTGTGAGTGTGTGTGTGTGAGTGTGTATTGTGACTGTGTGGGTGAGTGTGTATTGTGACTGTGTGTGAGTATGTATTGTGTGTGTGAGTATGTATTGTGAGTGTATGTGAGAGAGAGTGCCTGTGTGTGTGACTGTGTGTATGTGTGAGTGTGTGTGTGTCACTGTTTTCTAACTGTAAGGATACTTATGTCACATGCAGTGGCAGCAATACATTTCCAGCATTTTAAAGTGTATAAGTGAAGTCAGTTGTTTGTTTTGCTAAGACTCTGCACGTGCATTTCAGAGAACAATATACAGCTATTAAGCCCTTAGGCCCAAATAAGATTTATCATTTATCATATAATTGCTAATGCTGGTAGGTTTTCTTGTTAATCAGAAACATAGCATTTCAAAAGCAAAATTAATTACTTAATTTTTATGAAAAGTCTCACTGGAATTTTAAAAATAGGGAGCCAGAGAGTTGCCTCAGTCGTTAAGAGCGTTGATGCTCTTCTGGAGGACCCAGAGTGGTTTCCAGCATCCACAATGGCAGCTCACATCTGTAAATATAATCCATAGGACACAACGCCCTCTTCTGGCCTCATAGGATATTGCACACATGTGGCACACCATATATACGTGCACACAAAGCACTCACATACATAAAATAAAAACCAATCAAACCATTTCAAATATTACAGCTCTTATCACTTAAGTCCCAATGATTATTTAGTGAACATCTCCAAAGTGTAGGTCAGTGCACTAGGAGCCAGGCAGACAGACGGAACCACTCTTAGCTCTGCGCTCAAGGAAATCCCAGGCGTAGAGGACCCGCTTGAAGGAGAAATATTGTAGACCCGGTGTAGACCAGGTTATGATTCTTTGACATATTTAGTTAAAAATATGGCTGACACATGTTTTTCAGGAATGTCCTTGTATTACTCTCAAGTCCGCAAGGCCGTAGGCAACATCTTAAGACACCTTGATAAGGAAGTGGGACGGTGCATGATGCTGACCAACGTCCAGATGCTAAACAAAGAGCCGGAAGACATGATCACGTGAGTGCGCCCGAAGAAGGCAGGACGAGTTGGAGGGGGCGGGGGTCTAAGCCGACGTTCTCCTACTTGACTCGGAGTTTCCAAGGGTGGTTAAACAGATGTGTTGATGAGATTTGACTGAAAACCATCTCCGCTTTTTTTTTTTGGTTTTTCAAGACAGGATTTATCTCTATACCCTAGCTGTTCAGGAACTTGCTTTGTAGACCAGGCTGGCCTCAAACTCACAGAGATCCGCCTGCCTCTGCCTCCTGAATGCTGGAATTAAATGTGTATGCCACCATTTGACTTTAAAAAATAGATTTATTCACTTTATTTTGTGTGTGGATTGTATGTGTATGTGTGTTCCACATGCACGATTGTCCCTGTAAATATTAGAAGGAAGCATTAGATCTCCTGGGACAAGTGTTATGGATGGTTGTGAGCCTCCATGTGGGTGCTGAGAGTCAAACCTGGGTCCTCTGTAAGAGCAGCCAGTGCTCTAAACAACTGAGCCATCTCTCATCCCTGCATCTAGACTTTTAAAAGTTCATTGGCACAAATGAAGCTTTGAGGAGATAAGCATTTGTTAGAGGCCAGAACCAGGCTATACTTAGAAGGCCTGTGCCCGTATAGATTTAATACATAAACTCATAAGCTTAAATGGTTTTTCATAATCTTTTGACTTGCTTAAATTTTGTCTTCAAACTCTAGGGGTGAACGAAAGCCCAAGATCGATCTCTTCAGGACCTGTGTTGCTGCGATACCTCGACTGTTGCCTGATGGGATATCTAAACTTGAACTTATCGACTTGCTGGCCAGGTGGGTGGGAACAGTCTCAGAGGATATTTGATCAAAATTGATTTTAATCTTTAGTCATGGTTCAAAAAAACAGAATACAATGATTATTTTCTACTGATGGAGATTTACTTCATAAGGTATTATTCCGGGTCTTATGTATGAACAGGTGGAAGGAACTTAGAATTTTTGTTTTTGGTTTTTTGGTTTTTGGTTTTTTTAGTTGTGGGTCTTGAGCCTAGGAACCCACTTGTGCTAGGTAGGTGAGCCCTCTGCTGCTACTGAGATTGATTGCCAGCCCTCTGTTTACTCATTTTGAGACAAGGTCTCACTAAGTCCCAAGCTGATCTCAAACTATGACCTTCCTGCCTCAGCTTTCTGAGTAACTGGGATTGCAGGCCTGATTCATAGACCTGGCTTGTAACTCGAAGATCTTTGTTATTTTATTTTCTATGTTCAAGGGGTTTAAAATCCAGTTTACAATAGTTACAAAAGAACCAGGCAGTGGTGGCAGTCACCCTTAATCCCAGCACTTGGGAGGCAGAGGCAGGCTGATCTCTGTGAGTTTGAGGCCAGCCTTGTCTACAGAGTGAGTTCCAGGACAGTCAGGGATACACAGAGAAACCCTGTCTCAAACAAAACCAACAGAAACCTCAGCAAAATAAATAACAGAAGTCCACACAGTTACTCGAAACCCCAGGATGGGTGCACTCAGATGACCAGCACAGAGTAGACCCTTGAGTTCGGTGGGGAGAGGGGTCAGCTGTGGACCAAGGAAGCCAGCAAATCAAAGGTGTGTTTGGAAAGGCCCTTGGAGAGGAAGGATCAAGTTCAGAAAGGTAGAGAGAAGTGTGTGGCCTCACTGTGAGAGCTCATCCCAGGTCTGACCCTGTGTGAGGCCCCAGACTCTCTAATAAGGCCAAAAGAGACAGTAATCTTAACTCTGCCAGTAGTACTCCTGAAAGCTACCAAAAATCTCATTTATGTTTTTCCCACCATCCACACAACTGCACAGCCCGACTGTAACCTAACAACCGTTTGCGTTGAGTGAAGTCTCTCGTAGTTTAGGATACAGCATCCTCTCCTGTAATCTGAAACTCCAACTGACAGGATGTCTTTCATTTACAATCAGAAAAGAAACACAGAAGGCAAAAGCGTTAGAAGCATGGATGTAAGGAGTGGGAGAGAGAGGGAAAGTCAGCATCGGGCTGGGGAAGTGAGCTACAAAGAGTTAAGAAAGCCAGGCATGAACGGACATAGACACACACCCAGAGAGAGGGAATTTTAGCATCAGGCAGGGCCATTAATGAGCATTTTAGGGGCTGGTGAGCTGGCTCAGGGGGTAAAGGTACATGACAACCTAAGTTCAGTCCTTGGGATCCACATGATGGAAGAAGAGAACTGACTCCTGACCTCTGACCTCAACATACATGCCATATCGTATTAATATCCACACAAACACACATGCATGCACACACAGTAAATGTAATTTTAAAAATTATTTAGATTAGAGGGTTAAGCTCTGTGATTAAGAGTACTGACCACAGTATTCTTTTATAGAGGACTCCAGTTCAGTTCCCAGCACCCACATGGTGGCTCACAGCGGTCTGTAACTCCAATTCCAGGGGATCCGATACCCTTAGCTGAACACCCCAGGTACTTACATGGTACATGATCATATATGTAGGCAAAACATCCATACATATACAATCATGTGGGTGCTCAGAATCAAACTCAGATTCTCTGGAAAAACAAAAACCCAATCCTCGTATCCAGTGAGCCATCTCTCCAGCCCCCATAAATGTAAGTTTCAGAATGCCATTTTAGATATGTTCATCTGATAACAGTGGCAAAAAAGGAAAGCCCAGAGAAGAGAAAAGATATGAGTGCCTAACCCCCTAGGCATACCCAAAGCCTGAGGAGGTTCTGTTCGCTGGCAGCAAGCTTCAGTTTATTTATTTAGCTTCTGATGGGACAAAGTCCACAGGCTAGCGAGGGGATCAGCCTAGGTTATGCACCGTGCATCTTTTCTCAGCTACCTACTGCATGAGAGCCAGAGGAGAATCAACAGATGAGCTCAAACGAGCAGTCTGTGACAGAGCACCCTCTCTGGTTTTTGCACAGTGACTTTTATTGCCTGAGACCATTCCCACCCTCTTCCTACACATCTAGCTTGGGATGATTCTGACTATGGAGGCTGATGAGGATCTGTGACCCTCACAACCACGCTCCTCAGTCAGTGTCCTCTGAGCAGGCCCCCCCTCACTTGTCATTTGTTAGCCCTCATCAGGTTAGCCACAACCTGCCTGTTGCTCTCACAGACAACCTTCAGCCATGGATCCTTCTCTCTGTTCCATGGTCAGAGCGCACTTTAAGAAGGACTCGGGCTGGAGACAGAACACAGTACAAAGAGTTTGCCTCAGCTACTTGAGGCTCCGGGTTTAATCCCCAGTCCCTCCAAAATCATCTAAGGTTTAGACAGTGAGCAGCCTCAGCTTTTGGAGCCTGAGGCAGAGTGGAGGAGATGGACCTGAACTGAGGTGAGCTTCCAATTCTAAGGAGACTCACGAAGGAACAAACGGTGAATAACAAAACACACTGATTTTCAGGAGTCGGTGTGGAAGGAAGAGTTTGGAGTCTTTTGAGGGTCTTCCACTCAAATACTCTCCTGGGATGAGAGCAGAGACTGAGAATAAAGAAAATTCTGGCCGGGCGGTGGTGGCGCACACCTTTAATCCCAGCACTTGGGAGGCAGAGGCAGGCGGATTTCTGAGTTTGAGAGTTCGAGGCTAGCCTGGTCTACAAGTGAGTTCCAGGACAGCCAGGGCTACACAGAGAAACCCTGTCTCGAAAAAAGAAAGAAAGAAAGAAAGAAACAAAGAAAGAAAGGAAGGAAGGAAGGAAGGAAGGAAAGAAGGAAGGAAAGAAAAGAAAAGAAAAGAAAAGAAAAGAAAAGAAAAGAAAAGAAAAGAAAAGAAAAGGAAAACTCTGGATAAATTCCAGAGTGGCCCTAAAACACAAAGGAGCTGCCTGCCAGTTGCTGTGGGGAACAGTAGACAGGCTGACAGCTGGAAGTCAGTATTTTTGTGGCTGGGGCATGGGGAGATCAGGATGTGACCATGGCCACCAGAGGACAAGGTGCTGAGACAGGAAGCATTATGGGAGAATGGAAAGGTGACAGAACTTTCTAGAAAGTTTGAGCTTGGTATCTCTGCTCGCTATTTTATTACCTGTGTGATCTAGACAATTTAAACCCCCTGCATAACTTTCCTCCCTTAGTAAAAATTTGGTAATCTTGGAAGGATGCCACCTGTCTCTGAGGACCTTTGAGAGGGGCAAAGAACACTGTGGCGTCTACACCCTGGCTAGTCAGAAGAAGGTCTGTGGGAAAGAGCCGGTTATCAGTTTAGGGTGGGAGGGACCTTGGCTTTACTCAGAGATCTAGCCGGTGATTGCCTACACTGAAGCTCTTGAAATGCCAGGCTTTATGTAGATAACGTGGAGCATTCTGGGAGAGTGTCTAACACTGCTTTGCTGTCGGTCTGCACGGAAGGCTCTTAACCTCTGAAATCACCTTGACAGCCTAATCCAAGGATGCTGGAGTCTGCAGACTGGTGCCAGACATGCAGGGAGGGAATTGTTAGACATAGTTGGAATGTCTGAGCTATTTATAGCACCCTGTTTATTATTGTGTACATTCTTATAAAGCCCGAAGCCATGAGCACTGCTTTTGAGAAGGGAAAAGAACAAATAAATATTCTTGAAAGTTCAAAAAAAATGGCCAGGCTTTATCGGAAGCTCATGAAAAAGGCTTTTTTGTAAACTTCAAAGAGGAGTCACAGGGTGTCCTCGGAGGGAGTTAAGGAGCCTGTGACCTGTACACTGGGTCCTCTGGGTCCTGAGAGAACGAGCCTCTTCAGATGCCCCTCAGAGGGTCAGTACATAAAGGCGAATGAGCACAATGAAATGAGGAACTGAGCTGCCACTCAGGAAGTGCATCACCCTGCACCCCAAAGTCCAGTCAGGATGGTGGTAAGCTGACATGATAACAGTATCTAAAGCCTGGCCAGAGGAGGGAGATACACACTCACTCCACAGTTACTTCACAGTGCATTTTACCAGAAAATTTGGCTTTCTTCATAATTAGAAAAGCAAGAGCAGTGTCGATCCAGACTCCTGTCAGATAAGAGCGCTGGCTGTTCTTCCAGCGGACCTGGGTTCAGTTCTCAGCACCCACACCACAGCTCACAACCACCTGTAACCCCAGCTCAATAGGTTCCTATGCCCTCTCCAGGCCCAAGGGCCACAGACATAACACGCAATCGAAGCATCTATGCACATACATTATTTTTTAATTAAAAAAATTAAGATCTAGTTTCTTACACTTACAGAGCTTTCCTGAGACCAAGCACCATTACTTTTATGTAAAAACTAAAAATTAAAAAGTAGCTTTCTGGACTGGAGAGATGGTTCAGCGGTTAAGAGCACTGGCTGCTCTTCCAGAGGTCCTGAGTTCAACTCTCAGCAACCACATGGTGGCTCACAACTATCTGTAATGGGATCCTATGCCCTCTTCTGGTGTGTCTGAAGACAGCTACATTGTACTCAGACATAAAATAAATAAATAAATCTTTAAAAAGAAAGAAAGGAAGGAAGGAAGGAAGGAAGGAAGAAAGAAAGAAAGAAAGAAAGAAAGAAAGAAAGAAAGAAAGAAAGAAAACTAAAAAAAAGGAAAGAAAAGTGGCTTTCGATTAGTGGGGTTTTTTTTTAATTAATTTGTAGATGCATCTGAGACAATGTTCCATACTCCCGTCACTTTCTGTGACATCTGCATTGTAATAACCACTTCCTCTGCTCTCGTTTATAAGCACACTGTGCTATGAAAAGTGCCACAGAGAAAAGCGACGGCTCTGTGTGCGGTGCCTCAGTATCTCAGTGTGTCTTCTTTCTTTATTTGAATGGAAATGTAGTTCTGGCCTCAACAGAGAGCTGGAAGTCCTCTCTTTAAGGCTCCTCCAAACAAAATCACTGTGACTTCTGGTCAGCTAGACCCGACCAGCAGCTGGCTCCTCAGTTTCGGAGTTCCCTTCATAACCCTTGATGGTGTCGCCAGGCGGCAACTCTTGTGGCTGCCTGATAATACCTTATTTGCCTCACCATCATTTATGCAGAAGTGTTTCTGCCAACCGGTCTCTTTCTTCAGCGTATGGTCCATCACTCTGAAACACGCCCAGATAACCAAATTGTTGCAAGAACTTAGCTCATTGACAGGAATCTGGAGCTTGCCTGTGGAAAAGGTTTATGCTGTGAGTCACTTGTCTGATTTGATCAACCAAAGGACAGTCTTGTCCAAGTTGTAACCTCCCCCTCCCGTCAACGCATCTTTATGTGTTCAGCCACTCTTGAGCAAGAAGCATGTGTCCTTGGGACTCATGCAGACAGAGCCCCGGGTGTCTTGCAGTGGCACACACGGCCTGAGAGAAGCATCCTCTTGTTCAATCCCTTGTCTGAGTCACTGTACCAGTGCCAGGCCCTGCCAGTGCTCCCGATGCCAGACAACTGGAGGGAGAGCCCACTGATGTGGCAATGCTGGTTTCTTTGGGTCTGTTTCCTGGCTAAGTCCCTGAGGAGAGTCCTCAACCCTTCCTTGGTGGTTTTATTTATTGTTAAGTGTAACTGAAACTCTGTTGAAGACCCCCTGAGAAAACAGATCTGTTTCTTAAAGAATTTTCCTTCAGTCTTCAAGTCAAGTCAGACTTCCTCACAGGCTGATTCTTCTTCACTCTCTCTGACATCTTTTACCTACTGCATCAGACTCCCTTGAAAAATAGAGGTGTGGTCAAGTGTACTCACACATTTAATATTCAAGACAAACACTTTTCAGTGAAACACGAACATAACATCATTTCAAGAGGCATGGCCACCCAGAAAAGCCAAGACCACACCACCCTGGGGCTCCTGGGGTCTCAGCACAATCTTGCACTGTGTACTGGAAGTTAAGACTATTCCAGATGGCGGAGTGTTTATGCACACATGGCAAATGAGGACTGAATTACGCTCATTGAGAAAGCTCAGAGTACTGATGTCTAATGGCTTCCTCTGAGTACAGTGTGGCATAGCTTTTGCCCTCAGTGCTGCCTGGTTCTAGAACTGTGTGGCTTGGTTCAAGGAGATACAAGAACATGCCACAAACTGGGGACTTAAATAAAAGCAGTGATGGCCTCTCAGGTCTGGAGGCTGTAAGTTCAAAACCAAGGTGTTGCATTTCTGTGAGCCCTAAGGGAGAGTGTTTGCTCTGGGTCTCTCACCATCCTTCTGGTGACTTCCTGGTGACCTCTGGCATTGCCTGGCTGGTAGAAACATCATCATGACCATTATTCTACCTTCAAATGGAGCTGTCATTATTTCTAACTTCTCCTGGCACTTGTCTATCCCAGCACCCACGTGGCATCTCACAACCATCGGTAACTCCAGTTCCTGGGGATCCAATACTCTCCTCTGGCCTCTGCATGTACCAGGTACACACCTTGATACATGCAGACAAAACACTCATACCCATGAAATGAAAAATAAAGCCAGGCATGGTGGCACACACCTTTAATCTCAGCACTCAGGAGGCAGAGACAAGAAGATCTCTCTATGAGTTCTAGGCTAGCCTAGTCTACATAGTGAGTTCCAGACTAGCCAGGATTATACAGTGAGACCCTATCCCAAATAATACTAATACTGATTAACAACAACAACAGTAATAATAAAATCGTTTTTAAGATGGTAATTTCAGGAGTGGCTAACAGAGGTTCCAGGGGAACTGATACTCTTAAGCAAATGTGAAATTAAACTTTTAAAAAAAAGTTTTCATTTAGGCCATTTATTAAGAATGAAGGGAGGCTCTTTCAGCCACAGTTGAAGTAGAGAATTGCATATCCTTTCTTCCACCTAGAAGAAAACGTGGTCAAGCCAGCGATCTCCTGCCTTTCTCTTCCCAGGCTCTCTATTCACATGGACGATGAGCTGCGACACATTGCACAGAACTCTCTGCAGGGATTGCTGGTCGACTTCACGGACTGGAGGGAAGACGTCCTATTCGGCTTCACCAACTTCCTGCTCCGGGAAGTAAATGACATGCACCACACCCTCCTGGACTCCTCCCTAAAGTTGCTTCTGCAGTTGCTTACGCAGTGGAAACTGGTCATCCAGACCCAGGGAAGAGTCTACGAACAAGCCAACAAGATCAGAAACTCAGAGGTGATTCCCCAAGACTGCCCACTAATGTGCACAGTTTTATGTGATATACATACACATATATACACATACACACCTATACAAACACACACATACGTATATACACACAAACATATATACACATATGTACACACATATATACACATACACACACAAACACATATATACATACATATACACACAAAAACAAACACACATGCGTACACATACACATATGCATGCATACACATATGCACATAAACGCACACATACACACAAACACACATACAAGTATATACATACACATACACACACAAACACATCTATACACATACACACACATGCACATACACACACACACACACACACACACACATACAGAGGCAGGTAGCCTAGGGAACCTTTAGAGTTTTTCCTTCCCAATGCCTTGGGCCTACCTGTGATGCTGGCCCTTAGTTCTTCCACCAGCCACGTTGTGACCAAGAAACACAGGCTGCTACGGGCCATAAGGTTGGACTTGTTAACTCCAACAAGGCCATGGAAGGAGTGGGAATTGTGGCATCGAGACAGACAGGGAGAGATCCAGCAGTTAGCTGCCCACCAGGGTGTTCTTTTCTGAGTTAATGTTTATTGCTTCGCCCTGGATCCACACAGAGGAAAGTGCACTCTTCAGGTTTCTTGGTCACTAGTGAATGGTAAAAATGATTGCTAGCAGTCTGGAGCATGCATTGAAGGGGACCAGGTTCTCAGAGCCACATGGTGAGCTGGCATCGGCCATGCGGGTCTCTGGTTCTGGAGGGACAGTATCTTCGGTGATTTGGAGACCTGTGGAGATTCTGGGCAGCATAGCAACACCCAGCAAAAAGCGAGGGTGGCATTCAGGTTCCTGATTGATGAACAGGAAGTCCAATTGCTTTGAAAAAGGGATTGGAGGTGGCACCTGCCCTAGCCTCTCAGTTGCCTTTGCTTGAGGGTCATGTGATTGCAGCTTGGAAGCTTCCAGAACCTGTCATGTAAACACGAAAAACTTAGAACAGTCTACCTATGAAAATGTAAATTAGTGTGATGTCTTATCCCTATGACCCTAACACCTGTAGGTAGGGGAAGGAAGAGCATGAATTCTAGGTTAGTCTGAGCTGTACAGTGAGACTGTGCCTCAAAAAAAAAATACAGATAAAAGGGGGTGGGAGGGTAGCTCAGCGATTAAGCGTGCAAGCTGCTCTCCCAAAGGTCCCACATAAGTTCCCCTATCAGGTAGCTCACTAGTGCCTGGTGCCCTCTTCTGGCCTCTCCCTACACTCGTGCACACGACCAGAAACAGGCACAAGTGTGTCACTAAAAACTAATAGAAGCCTTTTTAAAGTTTTTTTTAAAAAAATAAAATAAATAATACAAATAACTGTGACCTTTCCCCGCCTAAAGAAAACCTAAATTCTCTTGGAAAAACTCCAGCTTTGGGCTTGAGCTGGCACTGGAGGTGGAGAACTTGCCTGGAATATGGGATGCGATGTTCTCAGGACACATTGATAGGTTATTTCTCCACTGGTGGAATGAGCCAATTCAAGTCACATTAGAGTATATTAAATGCAGGTTTATTAGGAAGCTGCTCTCAGGCCAGTCCACTGGCCTCAAGGACCAAGGCCAGGGAAGTCACCGTGAGGATGTGGGAGAGAGGAAAAAGAAAGAGAAAAAGGGCATGCACACAGAAAAAGAAGGAGAGGGGTGGGGGAAGAGGGAAAAACCAAAATGTCTGAATTACATGTAGGGAAGAGCCTCTGAGGGGAAGGGCAGCCCAGCCCCTGGGCTGGAAAGTTGAAGGTTGGGGGCAGGGTATGCCAGGTAGGGACTGAGGGACGCTGGGAGAACCTGGAGGCCAGGTCTGCTTTGATTATGTAAAATATGCACCTCAGACCCTTGTCCCAGAGTCTGAAACCAAATACTCACACACACACACATATATGTATATACCAGTACCACCAAATATGTGTGTGTGTGTGTGTGTGTGTGTATACATTCATATATACATTCATACACTAGTATCAATAGAAAGTAAAAGTTTTGAAAAATTCAACTTAATAGTATCTTTTGTGTGTAGAAACTTCAGTGAAAATGAATTAGACCACTTTGATCACAGCCGTAGCATAATCCCAAATGGAAAAGACAGGGAGACAGGATTCATCTCCTCACCATGAACAGCCTTTGAACAGTCATTTCCCATCAGAGGTAACAGATGGCTGGCATTATCACAAAGCACCCATTGATCTGAAAGACGAAAAGGGAACCTGGATATTTCATGAATAATAATCTATTCACACACTCTGCCTCTAAGCTGTTCCGATTTATTTTAATTTTCGGAAGCCAAATGTGCAGAAGGATTGTACTTCTTGCCTTGTTATTTTGCTGACCCTGGAATGTTCTTCTTGCATGACAGCTCATTCCCAATGGCTCCAGCCACAGAATGCAGTCAGAACGAGGCCCGCACTGCAGTGTCCTCCACGCTGTGGAGGGCTTTGCTCTCGTCTTGCTCTGTAGCTTCCAAGTGGCCACCCGCAAACTGTCCGTGCTGATACTCAAGGAGATCCGAGCCCTCTTCCTTGCCCTGGGTCAGCCCGAGGTATGGGGTGTTCTCAAGAAGCCTCCTTTCAACAGCTTTGGATTAAAAATTAGAAATAACACATTATTATTGGGTGTACCTAATATGTGTAGGGCAAAGACTTCATTGTTGATACATTATTGGGTTTTTAATTAGGTAGTAGCTATTGTTTCCTTTAATTTGTTTATCTGTTTTGCTTTATTTTGTTTTGAGGACAGAATCTGGAGTTCTGTAGACCCAGCAGGCCTTGAACTCACAGAGTTCTGTCTGGCTCAACTTCCTAAATTCTGGGATAAAAGACATGCATTCCTAGGCTATAACAGAATTCTTTTTAAAATCTTACGTACACTGCCTTTTCAGGTTGTATTTATTGTTCTTCTATATGTATGAATATTTTCCATCCAAGCATGCATACCACATGCATGCAGGGGCCTTGTGAGCTAGAAGAAGTCATTAAGTCGGCTGGCACTGGAGTTTCAGGCAGTGTGAGCTGCCGTGTGGGTGCTGAGAATTGAACCTGGGTCCTTTCTGCTACTTTTTTTTTTAACTTTATTTGCGAATTTAATACTGTATTTCCACACAATTCTCTCTCTGCTCCAACTCCATATCTCCTCAGTTTTATTATCTCTTCCTTTAGTATATATATATATATATATACATACACACACATGGTGGGTGTGTGTGTGTAAGTACAGCCTGCTGATCTATTTAGTGTCACTTAGGATCAGATAACCTGTCAGAGGCTTGTGCATGGAGAAGACTAATTATCTTTCTAGACAGCCATTAACTGCCTGTAGCTCCCCAGTAGGGGTGCGGCCTTGTGAGACTTCCCCCAGCGACACTGGGCTATCAGCTGGTTTTGTCATTATGTGACCATATTGCTGAGTTGTATGGGCACCATAGCATCCTTAATCTATCTACTAGAGACAAATTGTATATTCTGACAGTCACAGAAGAGAGACTATTTCTAATTTCCTAAATGACCCTACTCGACCAAGAATTTTAAGATTAATTTGGTTGCGGGTCCTTCTTCTCACGTTCAACATCCATCTAATTAAGATGTTGCTCCATGTCGACAATAAAGTAGAAAAAATAATACATCTTCTTTAAAAATACCACGGCGCCAAGCCACACACCGTAATTTCGATGATGCTGGGAGAAAACGAGTCCTCCCAAGATAAGAAACAAGGCTGTGCAGCACATGGGAAGCGCAGGGCACAGAGTTTGTCTACGATGTTTTCTTTGGGACTAAAATTCAATCGCAGGCCATGTAGTCAGTTATCCCAGTAAGCCAGCGACCTCAAATAAGATCATTCTAGTGTCCCAGCCAGGTATGCTCCTGCGGGACTCCTGGCCCTTAAGCTTATCACAGAGGCTTGAGCAGCTCTAGGACTTATATACAATGCTGGCATTTAGATTCTTGAGGATGTGCGAGTGTTTGAAACTGGAGCTTTAATTATCTTGTGCTGGAAATCGAAAGGCTGTCTATCCTCAGGACCAAAGGGGTTCTTAGTCCCTGCCTTCTCTTTCCTGTCTCTATGAGAAACCGTTATCGCTGTCTGGCAGGCTGTTCGGCTTCACATCCTGGGATGAAGGCTATGGGGAGGGTGGAAGGACACTTTTCCCATGGGGTGTAACTGGCTCCTCCTTTGTACAGGATGATGACAGGCCGATGATTGAGGTCATGGACCAGCTAAGTTCTTCCATTCTTGAAAGCTTCATTCATGTGGCAGTTTCGGATTCGGTAAGCAAACGTGTGGTCCCAAATGCTATCTGATGTCAGATAGAAGTTCTGAGCCTATCTCTTAAAACAGAGCCAAATAAAAACCATGTGTGTGAGCTCCGGGCTCTCACAGCAGATTAATGACCTGAGGCACAGATACCTAGGAAAACAAGATTAGCTTTTTAAATAATAGCACAGGACATGTCTGGAAAAAAATGCCATACAAAATTTGAACTTTAGAAATACAGATAATATTTTTGAAAACTTCAGTTTCAAGAAAAATCACTCCAGATTTTTAAGGAAAATTAACTAGCCGTAATTGTTGTTTTGAATACATAATCTTTGTTTAATTTTGTACTTAATATTTTGTATCACAGCAGTCTCAATACATACGTTCTATTCATGTGTTACTTTATAGTTTCCAAGATGGTTTTATTTTTATTACCTTTGACCCTCACAGTTATTAAAACTCAAAAGCATTAAGTTGGGGGTTAACTCAGGACATTACACTTTGTTTTTCAAGATAGGTTTCTCTGGGTAATTCTGGCTGTCCTGGAACTCGCTCTGCAGACTAAGCTGGCCTAGAACTCGGAGATCTGCCTGCCTCTGCCTCCTGAGTGATCAAAGGCACTGGTGACTCTTAGGAAACCTAAAACTAGAGCCAGGAATGGCAACTTGAGCCTGTGGCGTGTGATGCAAATGCCCTTAACCACAGCACTGGGGAAGAAGAGGCAGGTGAGTCTCTGTGAGTTCTAGGCCACCCTGGTCTATATAGTGAGACCCTGTCTCAAAAAAAAAAAAAAAAAAGCAAAAGGAAAAGGAAAAAAGTCTCCAACCTAAGATGACAGTATTTAGAACATGGAAAGTTTTTACTAAATGTAAGCCTATAGCGGCATAAACTCACAGAGATTCTGCCTCTGCCTCCCGAGTGCTGGGATTAAAGGCGCACACCACCACCGCTCAGTTAGATATCCATCTTTTAAAACAGAAAAGTACAGTGAGCAGACTTGGATCTGTTTCAGCTCCACAAACTGGAAGGGAAATCTGGGGGAAGAGGAGGGTGACTGGAGAACACACTTAGCTGGTGCCTAGCACAGATGCCTGTCACTTATGCAAATGACTGCACTGCCAGAAGGAATGTGTAAACTTTTCATAGACTTTCATGACACAGAACACAAAATGCTAGTTTTGGCCAATCATAATCATGATAATCACTAAGGCCGTTGGCCAGACACAGTCAGAATAAAGAAGTACTCATCCTCTTACATTACAGTTATCTGAACATGAGGAGGAACGGCCGTCGTGATCCTTACACATGCTTATCTGCCTTTCCTGTAGATAACTGTTATACTTACTCATTTTCTTCTGTTTCTGCTAGACTCAGATCCTAAGCAGGTCGTCAGGTCAGCATCCTGAACTTCAGAAGATGAGCATGCACCAGCATTGGATTTCTCTATCCATTGTCTTGTCTGATTCACAAAGAGTATCAGGAAAGGTCACTTACAGTAGTCAGTCATGAATGCAGGAGACATCTGTCTCTAGAGTCAGTGATTTCCCCAGAACACAGGATTAGGCAGACCACTTGATAGGATCTCATCTCTCTGGCTATGAACGTCCAATTACGCCCCCTTCCAACCCAGTCAGTGACTTACGAAAGCCAGATCCGTAACATTTACCCACGGGAGTTCATTGCCCCAACAGATGAAACATATCACTTTATAAATGCCTAACCAATGTCTGCCAGTGGTGGTGCACACCTTTAATCCCAGAGGCAGGAGAATCTCTGAATTTGAGGCCAGCCTGGTCTACAGAGTGAATTCCAGGACAGCCAGGGCTACATGAAGAAACCCTGCCTCAAAAAATATAAATAAATAAATAAATAAATAAATAAATAACAAAAAGGCAAGTTTTCCCCCACTTTGGAACAATAGATATTTGTTATTTGAAAATTGATACTGCCTAAGTATTGATGTGGATACTTAAGAGAGAATAACATGAGAGAATTTATCAATTCACAGATATGTTTATTTTTAAAAGAAGTTTTGAAATACATTGCTTGATATCATAGGGAAAGATTAGGTATCGCTTCTTTAAAATCATCGGTAGAAATGCCCTTCATAAAAGAGAAAGTATTCAGGTGTTTCTAAAACCCAGGCAAGGTGTTTCAGTGCAAGTAAAGACAGAAACCACCCTACACACGTCACACAAGCAAATCACAGGAGCAAAGGCGCATTTATGGGTCCGCACATGAACCGACCTTCAGTATTTCCACTTTGTAATCTGGGACTGGAGAGATGCCTCCATGGTGCAGGGAACTTCTAGAAGTTCAGAGGTTTGTTTCTCTGCACCCACATGGTGGCTCATAACCGACTGTAACTCTAGTTCCTGGAAATACATTGCCCTCTTCTGACCTCCACAGGCACTAGGCACACATGTGGTACACACGCATGCATGCAGACCTAACATCCGTATCCATAAAATCAAAATAAATTTTACAAAAGCATAAATCTGTGGTTGCGTTTAAATTGACAAATATCATGTATTGTCACATAAATGTTTGGTGAACATCCTCTGACATTAAAACTTAAAAATAAGACTATAGGTAGGCATGGTGGTTCACACTTTTAATCTCCAGCAATTGGGAAGCAGAGGCAGATGGATCTTTCTGAGCTCAAGGCTAGCCTGGTTTACATAGCAAGTTACAGGCCTGCAAGAGCTACGTCGTGATTCTCTGTCTCAAAAAAGCAACAACAACATCAAAAATGATTGTAATCATTGAACTTCACACTTACTGCTGCTTCCGGGCTGGCAGAGGGGCTGACTCCGACAGGTGTTGCACGTGATGGGTGTCCCGGATCCTAAGCTGGTCCGTGGCATCGGAGGTCAGGAAAGAAACTGTGCAAACAGGGGCGGCAGATTGAACCCTGGTAAAGTCAGCCAAGCCTGTTTATCTTTTACCCCCGCTTCTTGTCCTCAGGCAACATTACCTCCGACCCACAATGTGGATCTCCAGTGGCTGGTGGAATGGAATGCCGTCCTGGTCAACAGCCATTACGATGTGAAGAGCCCTTCCCACGTCTGGATCTTCGCGCAGTCTGTCAAAGACCCCTGGGTCCTCTGCCTCTTCAGCTTCCTCCGGCAGGAAAACTTGCCGAAGCATTGCCCCACGGCCCTCAGCTACGCCTGGCCTTACGCCTTCACCCGGCTGCAGTCGGTGATGCCGCTGGTAGACCCAAAGTAAGGTGCCCGTGTGTTTCCAGTGCGTATGATTGGTTCTCTTACATTTTCATTACACGTAAGAGGGTAGACTATCATCATCTTCTCTAAGTTTTAAGAATTTCCTGCTATAGCGTTCTTAATACATAGTAGAGATAAAAATTTCCTGTCTAGAACAAGGGTTGTTTTTTGTTTTGTTTGTTTTTTGTTGTTTTTTGCTTTTGCTTTAATAATCTATCTGTATGACTAAGTATACCAGTATAGGAAATTCTGGGTCTTAATACAGCCTTTAAAATTATGTGCGTTCTCTCAGTCCTGATGGACAGCCGCCTAATTGCTTGAGCCCTCCTAATCTTTATTTAACAAGTGATATTTACAGCCTGGCATAATAATATATGCCTATAATTCTAACACTCAAGAGGCTGAGGTAGAAGGATAGCCACAAGATCAAGGCCAGCATAGCTGTATATAGAAAGGCCTATACAGTGAGATCCTATCTCAAGCAGAACCCCTAAAACTAATACTCAAAATCAAAAATTAGAGAGACAGCTGCACACACTGCTCTCACAGAGGACCCAAGTTCAGTTCCCAGCACCCAGGCTAAGTGGGCTGAATGGCCCACAACTCCAGCTGCCCTGTGGTCACCAGAAGCACCTGCACTCCTGTACACATACACACACACACACACACACACACACTTAAAAATCAAACAATAAAATCAGGAATTTAGTTTTACCTTTGCTTGCCTCCACATCTATAGCAGCCCAGTCAACGCCAAGAAAACCAGCACAGCGAGCAGCGGAGACAACTATGTTACCTTGTGGAGAAATTACCTCATTCTCTGTTTCGGAGTTGCCAAACCCAGTATTATGAGCCCAGGACACTTACGAGCATCTACTCCAGAGATAATGGCAACGACTCCTGATGGTACCGTGAGCTACGATAACAAGGTGACATGGCATGCTTCAGGGGACTTATTCTGTAAGGGTTTTGTTTTTGGTTTTGTTTTTTAAGCTTGTTTGTTCCCTGTGCAAATCACACTGTGCCTGCCATCTGGAGTAGTGTGGAACCCGATTTTTCATCCTCCACATTTCCAGATTCCATTGAGCATCTTCTGTGAATAATTTTTTGCCCCTCCCCTACAAGTGTGGGACGGAAGACTGAGATATAAGGAAGCTTGCCACTGGGGCACCTTGTGCTCAGTACCTCAAGGTTGGGCTTGTCCACTCCGTGCCCACTTTCCACCTTCACCAATTGACTACCTCAAAACCACAACTTTATCCAATGATAGGTTTGTTGACTTAAATAATTTTAAAAAGAGGGCAGAGTTTTCTTTAGGACTTGTATCCCAGGTAGAAAATGATTATACTGTGTTAAATATATGGGGTTTATTTTTATTTTTATTTTTTCCTGAAATGATGGTTGTGCCTTAGGATGGGACTCAGTCACCTGAAACTGTTATTGTTTAATTACCACGTTATCTCTTTGTCACTTCAAATCACCTTGTTCCAGGCTATTGGCACGCCATCAGTGGGTGTCCTGCTGAAGCAGTTGGTGCCTTTGATGAGGCTGGAAAGCATCGAAATCACAGAGTCCCTTGTTTTAGGATTTGGAAGAACAAATTCCCTTGTTTTCAGGTATGGCTGTCACAGTACATTCTTCAAAATCACACATTCTTCAAAACAGCAATTATAGCTGTTTCTCTTAACTCAAGCTTGGGGGAGTGCTGGGTGCCGGCAGATGCTGGGGTGCCAGTGGGTACTGGGGTACCAGTGGGCTGTACATGGTTTTCTTTATGCCTTTGTTTGATGTGAAAGTAAACAGCCTTCCTTACAACTTCAGTTTTAACTCTGAGATTTTATTGCATTCCCAAGCTTTGTCTTGGGTAGCTATACATAAAATAATTCCCTCCCCATCCCGTTAGCCAGACTTTGTGAGGCTGTAACACCAACACAAGGGGAGTGTGTGGCTCCCTGCCATTCCTATAACAGACTACAAAGCATTCTGTGCCTCTATGTGGTTTTATCGTCTGCCGTTGCAGAGGACCTGGGTTTGATTTCCACTGCCCTTCTCTGATCTCCCTAGGTATTGCATGTACGTTGTATGAAGCTGGACATGCAGACAAAGCACATACACATATAAGTACAAGTAATTTCTTAAAGTTTTTAAATCAGTTTGACAAGTCTGCCCCGTAGATGGGTTGAGAGGATACATTAAATGTGCATATTCACATAAAAAACATTTGATTAATAGTTGATAAGTAGAAAAGAGCTATTGATATTATGAACAATCATTAATGTTACATAGTATTCGTGTTATATCATTATATTAATATAATATCTTTTGATATTATGACATATTATATTTTAATGTTATTAACATGATACATTGTTAAAGTTTTGATAAATGCTATGTCTTTATTAGACTGATCAAGACAGAACCTCAAATTTTCCTCTCTCAGTTCAGAGAAGATTCCCATAAGCCTTCTTGGTTCTCTGGAGGGTGATGCTTACTAACCACGGGTATACTGTGGAATTTCCAAACTTTTCTAGCTGCAAGCTAGATCTCACGCCTGTTTTAACATAGCAATTCAGAAATAATTTCCCAAAGAAGATAATTTATAGCAAGTATAAATGATAGTTGGAGACTTGGAGGGCAGATGAGATGTGTGTGTGTGTGTGTGTTTGTGTGTGTAATACATATATATACATATATATATACATATGCATATATATAATACACATGTAAAATATATATAATACATATAGATGTATACGTATAATGCATACATAAAACACAGATATGTCAGGGTTTCTATAGCTGTGAAGAGACACCTTGGTCATGGCAACTCTTATCAAGGAAAATACTTAGTTAGGGCTGGCTTACAGTTTCAGAGGTTTAGTTCATTATCATCATGGAAGGAAGCATGGCAGCATGCAGGCAGACCTGGGACTGGAGAAAGAGCCGAGAGTTCTACATCTGGATCCGCAGGTAGCAGCATGAGACTGCTACACTAGGCCTGGCTTGAGCATCTAAGAAACTGAAGCTGTAAGGAAGGCTGTTTACTTGCACATCAAACAAAGCCCGCCCCCACAGTGACACACTTCCTCCAACAAGGCCACGCCTCCTAATAGTGCCACTTTTTTATGAGACAAGCATTCAAACACATGAGTCTCTGGGGGCCATACCTGTTCAAACCAACACAATATATAACACAAACAGAGAAGTGTAATACGATATATATTACTGTTATCAGAACATTTTAACTACACAGGAAAGGTCTTAATGAAAACTGTGATATTTTGTCCCTTGCTATAATTCGCATCTATCAGATAACACAAGTGTAAACTTTGCTCTGAAACACATTTCATGTTTTAAATCTCATATGTGTCAGTCTCCTGAGTATATCTCTAAGGTAGTTCAATATTGACCCCCTCCTTCCTTCTGATTGGACTGAAAGGTTTTTTGAGAGCAGAGACTCAATTTATAATTATTTTCAGTTTCTGAAAGCCAGTCCTGATGCTCCCTGAATTTAGTAACCACTTAGGAAATCCTGTTTCGTTGTTCAGATACGGTATTCTGCCCAATACATATTCACAGCACCAGAATGAGGACAGATACTGTCTGTATAGAGAAACACCCATGCAGATGACATGGAAGGTTTTAGTTGGTAGCCAGGTGAGATAATTGTGTTATTTAGGCTGGAATGGATGTGTTGGTGACAAGTTTGTTTGTTTGTTTTTTTATCAATAATGACAATTTTTGAATATGACCTTTTCCCTCTGTAGAGAGTTGGTTGAAGAACTCCATCCGTTAATGAAGGAGGCTCTAGAGAGACGACCAGAGGTAAGGTTTGGAATCTCCATCATGAGTGCCTGACTCTTTTGGACAGTAGTGTGAATCTTAGTCTGCTTTGTCTTCCCCTAAATACAAACACCCCAGCCTGGTCCTAACAATGAACCTTGTTATAATACATTTGATTTTCAATAGTCCAATAATTTATGTTTTAATGAATTTTCTAAATGCACAAACGCAAAAACCATTCAGGTAGTCGCATAGACATGTTTTTATTTTTGCAAAAGATCTAAGTCAAAATCTAATTTTGGTTTTTAACTTGCTTGGCTTTATTGTTGTCTTTATTAACAAGCCAGGAGTCAATGATCAAGGAGACCAGAATTAACATACAATGCACCAGAATTAAATTACAATGCATAATCTTATTATAATAAGGTTAAGAAAGAAACTTCCCATAAACATGATACAAGAAACAGCAGAAATCTGGGGTTGGGGAGAGGGTTCAACTCTTCAGAGCACTGTTTGCTCTTCCAGAGAACCCTGGGGGTCTCAAAGCATCCCTAACTTCAGTTCTAGGGAATCTGACGCCCTCTTCTGGCTTCCATGAGCACTGCGCACACAGAAGGTACACATACATGTAGGCAAAACACCCATATGCATAAAAATGAATATATATAAAAAAAAGAAGTGGCAGAAGTTTCGAAGTCTGGAGATCAAATAGCGTGCACTCCCTGAGCAGACTGGGGCTTGTCTGCATCGGAGTCCTCTCCAGTCACTTCGTCTTGCTCAGCCTTTCCGCAGACACTGCCAGAATGCTACTCAACACTTCCACCTCATGTATTCTTAGGGGCTGACTTACAGTGTTTTCCTTACAGCCTCTACTAACTGGCATTGTCCCTACTTATTAGGAAGAAAGCATGCATTCCTTTCATGCTTAGAAAACGTGAAAATACTAAATTATGCCCTAAAGTTTGCATTGTATTATCCGTGACTGTAAGTGGCATTGCCGCTTTCTACGCAGAACAAGAAGCGTCGAGAGCGGAGAGATTTGCTGAGGCTACAGCTGCTTCGGATATTCGAACTTCTGGCAGATGCTGGCGTGATAAGTGACAGGTGAGGTTAAATGACTGAGCGGACCTCCCCTTGCCAAAGCCTTTCTTTCTCCTTCTCCTTGTTCTTTTAAATGTATTACTTCTGCAAAGATTCCGGTAAGCCGCCCTTATCTTTCTTCATACCCCCTTATACTGTTCCTTTGTACTGACTTGTCTAAGAGCATCCTCTCCCTTGCGTCCAGCACAAACGGAGCTTTAGAACGAGACACCTTAGCGCTTGGAGCCTTGTTCTTGGAATACGTGGACTTGACCCGCATGCTCTTAGAGGCCGAAAATGACAAAGAGGTCGAAATTCTTAAAGACATTCGAGCGCATTTTAGCGCCATGGTTGCCAACCTGATTCAGTGTGTTCCAGGTAATCCATCCTTTCCTCTGGGCTGGGTAAAGCATTCCCACCTCCCACCCCACCCCTCCCTCACTGCTCTTTCCTGGTTCCTAGGGGCCTGCATACAGCTCTAGGGTAGTTTCTTTGTTTATTCTGAGACATTGGAGATACACATGAGAACAGGTCACCTCAACTTAGCAGAGTCACCAAGGGAACTGTCGGAATCACATTCAGTGCTGTGCTTGCCACATCTTTTGTTTTCTGTTTGGTTTTTTGAGACCAGGTCTCTTTGTGTAGCTCTGGCTGTCCTGGAACTCACTCTGTAGACTAGACTGGCCTTGAATTTATAGAGATCCGTCTGCCTCTATCACCCAAGTGCTGGGATTAAAGGCGTGCACCACCATGGCCTGACTGGGCTTTCAACTTCTATCTTGACTTTGGACTTGATCTGAAAATGAACTGACATCATTTTGGAGGAAGGAATGCAGTAGAAAGCTCCCCGAGTGCTCCAGTGTCTCCTTTGCCTCTGTGCTAAACTGATCTCAGCCATGTTCCTTCAGTCACTGTGCTAACTAGAAGTCTGTAGAGCAGAATACTTTTCATATTTGCTTTGATTGACCTGATACATCTTGCAGAAGAGCATCTCACAGGATGCATAGATATGAAACATTTTTATTCCCACAGAGGCATACAAGACAAACGGGATGGTTGACTTGGTATAGTTACTTGAATTATACATTTTGTGTCTAATTATTAAAACAACTCGGCTCATGTACCATTTTGTTATTTTGACGTTATTAGCTCTACCTCAGCTGGTAGGGGCCTTAAACTACAATTTAAGCTTGACTTCTTCGGTAATATGAGGCACATGTTTTTGAAATAGCATATATTATATTCCACTGTGTTCTCTCTAACAACAGGGAGCAGTGGTCACAAAAATTCATTCTGTATACACAAACATTAAGTGGAAAGATCAGTTAGACCCGCAGTTCTGAACCTGTGGGTCACCCCAACACCTTTTGGGGGTCAAATGACCCTTTCACAGGGTTGAATAGCAGACATCCTACATGTCAGATACTTACATTAGGATTCATGACAGGAGCAAAATTACAGTTATGAAGTAGCAACACAATAATTTTATCGTTGGGGGTTCACCACAACGTGAGGAACTGTATTAGAGGGTCTCGGTATGGGGAAGGTTGAGAATCCAGGAAAAAAAAAAATGTGTCGAAACTTATTTAAAAAGTAAAATTTCTATAACTAAAGAAAACAGGAGTTATTGGGCTGGTGATATATCTCACTGGGAAAATGCATACTGAACATGCACAAAGCCCCAAGTTTTATTCAAAGCGCTAAGCAAAATTCAACTTAGAAAAATAAAGTTGGTTCTTGGGGATGGAGAGGCTGGATCGGGTTCTGCCTGAAGTTTACTTCCCAACACCTGTGTCAGGCTGCCCACATCTACCTGGAGCTCCAGTTTCTGACCTGTTTGGGCACCTGCACTCGTGTACACTTACCCACATATGAAACAACATGTGTGGGCACTTACTCACATACAGGAAAACACATATACACATAATTAAAAATTAAGGAAAACAACTTTAGGAAAAGTAGAATTTTTTTCCTTTCCCCACAACTTGAGGGTGATATTCAATAGTGCTACGAGTATGTATTCAGTCTAATATAGACTAATGATAGTCTAATAACAGACGCTGGTTTTGTATTATTCTCTCTAGTTCATCACAGAAGATTTCTCTTCCCCCAGCAAAGTCTACGCCACCATCTCTTCATCTTGTTCAGCCAGTGGGCGGGCCCCTTCAGCATCATGTTTACGCCTCTGGATCGGTACAGTGACCGAAACCACCAGATAACAAGATACCAGTACTGTGCTTTAAAGGTTGGTTTTCATCAGTGGTCTCCTTTGTAAGCTAACAACCATGCCTTTAAAATAAGGTTAAAATTCGTAGTACAATACAATAAAATATAGGTAAGGATAGAAAAATTCAAATGGATGTATGCATGCATATGTAAATATAAATTCAGTAATTCCAAATGCATAATTTAAGATGTGGGTAAATCTGTAAGCATGCCAGCTGGGCCCACAATTACAAAATGTAAAATTGTGTCAAGTTCCTGCTTTTATCCAGTGTTCTTCTTGGAGAGAACAGTTTTGCCTACTCATCCCTAAAGTTACTATATTACTACTTAATTTCCAGTCTAAGGAGGAGGAAAACAATCAAGCAACAGAGACACCCCCCAACCCCCGTTTATGTAATCCTATCCTAGCAGTCCACACTGTGAAAACCTTCCCATCTCAAGCAGTGTGGTCTTTGGATTGCTTACTTCTCCGTAGAGAGGATGAAGTACCATGGCCTGATTTTACATGAAGTAAAATCAGCGCATAGAGGGCTGAGTTTATTTCTGCCTACAGAGTCTGAAGGCTGGGGTTCACAGTGATGAGATAGCATAGTGTTCTGACTGACACAGGGAGCAGCCAGTCTCTACCACCCACACAGGAAGTAGAGAAAACAGGAAACCTGTTGCTCGGTTCGTCTCCAGGGTTCATGGTTTCTGATTTCAGGCAATGTCGGCGGTGCTGTGCTGTGGCCCTGTTTTTGACAATGTGGGCCTCTCTCCAGATGGCTATCTGTATAAGTGGCTTGACAATATTCTGGCTTGTCAAGATTTACGGGTAAGTGTGAGTCAAGAATGTATTGCTTGTCAACATTTTTGAGGTTAGCAGGATGCGGATACCACCTCTTCTCCACAGTCAGACAAGTTTAGATCTGTACTTAGGAACATTGTGGTGGGATGTACCAGGCCCAAAAGTACAGCGTCGTTTAACCAAATTGACCAAAAACTGAGTCATAGAGTCTCAAAACAGTTTGCATAACTTGAAAACAACCTTTATACTCAGTATCATTAAACTAGAAATGAGTAATTAAAATATCATTAAAATGTACTTCCCGGGAGCTGGAGAGAGAACTCTTAGCACCGAAGAGTGCTTGCTGCTCTTGCGGAGGACCTAAATTAAGTTCCCAGCACCCACACTGGGCAGCTCACAACCACCTGTAACTCCAGCTCCCGGGAATCCAGTGCCCTCTTCTGGCCTCCTCAATCACCCACAGACACAGAGAGTGTTTGTGTACATGCACGTACACATAATTAGAAATTAAATAAGTCTTTTAAAACAATATGTGCCTTCTGACAGCCAGTAAATTGAAGTAAATAACAATGGTAACTGGAAAGTATCTTTAAATGAAACATAATGAAAATACTACGTTTGTGGTTTGTAAATAAAGCTGTGCTTAAAATGAAGTAATGTGTGTGTGGGGAGGTGTCTGTGTGTTTGTGGGTGTGTGTGTGAGTGTGTGTGTGGGTGTGGGTGTGTGTGGGCGTGGTGAGAAAAGGCTGGTAATTTGTATCCTGTTCATCAGAAGTTAGTATAAGAAATAGTTTAACCAAGTCAGAAAAAAAAATAGGATAGTAATTAACTAGGGGACTTTTTAATAACAATATTATACTACAAACTTTTCCACTCCCATTGATTATATGACAAAATATCTTTTAAGAGAGTTTTTAGAAATTATAAAAATTGTATTTACAGTTACAGAAATTTTTCACTGTATTTTAAGGGGAAATTTTAAGTGAGAAAAAAATTATTATAGTCCATCCTGGTGGAGAAGGCATGGTTATCAGAGGTGACTTTGGGAGGGAGTGTCAGGTCTAAGTCTGTTCGTGTGATATGGGCCTGGAAGCGGCAGAGAAAGCTCAACTGCAGGGTTAGGTATGACCTTCAAAGACCCCTAGAGACTGCCGGCTAGACCCAACCAACTAAGAGCTCCAGAGACTCCAAGCTAAGAACCAAGGTTCAAAACATGAGCCTGTGGGACATTTCAAACCCAAGCTATTAATATGGCAGATACATAAGCCAAGTCCTTCCTTTTTGGCCTGATGGCAACTGCCAAGAAGAGTGTATGACTTCAGAGAGAGGCAGGCAACATTGCCTTCTGAGGAGAATGGAGCCTCCATCTTGGCAGTGGATGTCGGCTTCCCCGAGTACAGCAGAACCTGTATCCTGGTGGCATGACTGCATTGCACCCCCTTAAGGAAGAGTGTGTGGCACAAAGATCAACCCAAATGAGTGTCCAACCTCACTTAACCCCACTTAAGGTCGTCCTCCTGACCTGTATCAGCTATGTTTGATCGTATGTATCTCTCTAGAATATCTTCTCATGAAGTAGGGATACCTGATTTGTCCCTTGACCTCAGGTTCATCAGCTTGGCTGTGAGGTCGTCATGTTGCTACTGGAACTTAATCCTGACCAAATCAACCTTTTCAACTGGGCCATCGACCGATGCTACACGGGTTCCTACCAGCTTGCGTCCGGTTGCTTCAAGGCCATAGCGACTGTGTGCGGAAACAGGTATGAGCTTTCGTAGTTAGTGGCTAGTGGCAAGGGAGACGACACCTGCTCTCCGTCACGTGAGAGCTGAGCAGATAACTGCACAGCAGTTCTCTCCAGAGTATGACTGCCCAGAATGGCTTCTGCATCCCTCGCAGATAAGCTAGCCGCTCTAAGTTTCCATGATATTGCTAATTCTATTTGACAGAGAGAGAATCCCATTGTCTTTCTTTTGAGGTGCCCAGACAGTCACAGGGAAGTATGGAGGCAAAATTTGAAAATAATCAAAACAATACACTGAAGGAATTAAAGGATCCATGTGGACAAGGGTCCTGACACACGTTAACTGTAATCCCGTAAGCCAGCCGCTCACAAATCAAATCCCAGAAAATCCCCGCTGCTCAAAACTTCCCCGGATGTGGGAAAGGGGTGTGGTGCTTCAGAGTCTGATTACACTCATTTGAAAACATACTGATCTGAGCCCAGCGGCTCATGCATGCTAAAAGGACTCTCCCCTGAGTCACGCCCCAGCCCAACAACTATGCCCGTAAAGCCACCTTCCTTATTATATAACAAGCAAGTTCATGAACCTGTCTGGCACTATAACTTAGTAAGTGTAATACTGGCATAACTAGATTAAATTCCCCAAGTTGTATAAACTACTCCTAAGGGAGAGCGTATGGATTAGGAAGATGGAGAGAATAGAATACAGAAGAGGTTTTATATTGTAAAAGCTTCATGGAGGGACTGGAGCAACGCCTCAGTAGTTAAAAACATGTGTTGTAGACAAGCTGGGTTCAGTGTGTAGCACCCACGCCATGGAGTTCACAACCTCCTGTAACTCCAGCTCCAGGCGGTCCAATATTCCTGGGCTCCCAGGCACCTGTGTGAATGCGATGCACATACATATACTCAGGTACACATAAAATACATAAATAAATGAGTCCCAAAACAGACAGGGCAAGCTGGGCGATGGTGGCACACACCTATAGTCCTAGCACTCAGGAGGCAGAGGCAGGCAGATCTCTTGAGTCTGATGCCAGCCTGGTCTACAGAGCGAGTTCCAGGTCAGCCAGGGCTGCACAGAGAAACCCTGTCTCAAAAAACCAAAATAGATCCGTAAATAAATACAGAGCAGTGTCATTGCTGAGGTCCAGTGTGCCACCCCAGACATATCCAGCTTACTAGCCAGGATGGCTTATAACCATGCTGCGTATTTTTCTCCTTTTTCCCAGGAACTATCCCTTCGACATAGTGACGCTGCTAAACCTTGTCCTCTTCAAGGCCTCTGACACCAACAGAGAGATTTACGAGGTCTCCATGCAGCTCATGCAGGTATGTATCATTCACATGTGGAAATGTCCATCCTTGGGCTCAGGATGCGTGTATCTGTTTCTGTGTGTCATGTGAAGAGCGAGGAAACACACACACAATGTTCCCCGGAGTTAACTGATTTCGTGTGAAGATAAACGCGTTTACCATGTAATTATCAATTTCAGTTAATCACAAACATTCCTGAGCTGCCTGGATAACACTCTGTAAAGCCTGTTTCTTAACTCTTCATAGATCCTCGAAGCAAAACTTTTCGTGCACTCCAAGAAAGTTGCGGAGCAACGACCTGGCAGTATTCTGTACGGAACACATGGACCGTTGCCACCTCTCTACAGTGTGTCGCTAGCCCTTCTGTCCTGTGAACTGGCCCGGATGTACCCCGAGCTCACCCTTCCCCTCTTCTCAGGTACCACCCAGTGTCAGCATCGACACCTTCATCAACCCCTGCCCTGAGAAGCTTTCCTAAGTCTATTGCAGTCTCAGTGAATCGTGTCACACACTGGTGATAGATCTGTCCATCAGAATTGCTAAAGGCTAAATCTAGTTACACATGAAAGCAAATTCAAAAATATTTTTAAGTTTTTTATTTTATGTGTGTGGGTGTTTTGCCTGCTTGTATAGCTGTTGCACCCTGTAAATGTAACATTGACAGAGGCCAGAAGGGGGTGCCAGACGCCCTGGAACTAGAGTTACAAACACTTGTGAGCCACTATGTGGGTCCTGGGACTTAACCCCAGGTCCTCCAGAAGAACGCCAGTGCTCTTAACCACTGAGCCATCCCTTCAGCCCCTCAAGAATATTTTTAAATGTTAAAAAGAAAAAATGTGATTAGTTAAAGCAATATAAGTATAAATATGTACCTGACAAATGCAAAAGATTCTTGATGGGTAAACAGAGTTCCATGGGTGCTGTGTGTATACGTTTGTGAGTGTGTGTGTGTGTGTGTGTGTGATATATAATATTAAAATGCACTGGGAAGTTATACAGAGGACAATGTGACTGATGTCAGAGATGGCCCTGGGTGTACAGATTCCTTCTGTTGGTTTATCTTGTCCAAATTCAATGTGATAGATTTTGATTTATATTATTATATTTTATTTGGTTGTATTTTTAAATGAATGAATGAAGAATGAATGAATGAATGAATGAATGAATGAATGAATGAATGAATGAAAATCTAGCCACTAGGTTAAAGGGTAACAACTGAACTATCACCTATCCTGCTGGGAAAGGGAAAGTCAGTTTTCTCCTGTGGAGTGACACCAGGTATATCAACAACTCCAGGACAGCCTCATGTTCAGCATAGAATAGACTCCGTAGAGGGGTTTTGTGTGCATTTCTTTAGTTACAGGTTAGAGTTTTGTTTTTGTTTTGTTTTGGGGCAGGGGAGGGGTCTTAGATTGGGGGCCTTGTTGTTACATTGAGGTTTTGTTGTCATTATTGGGTTTTCAGTTTTTTGAGAAAGAACGTAAAGTTCCATGAATCGGGAGGATCTGGAGGACTTAGGGGAGAAGAATATGCTCAAAATGTTTTAATTAAAAAGTTGTTTTAAATAATAAAAGAGAAAAGAAAAAACATCAGAGCCACGGAGTGGAGGCTGTGTGGGCTGACTGAAGTAAAGCTGTCACTTTTCAGGGCCAAGGGGTCCTCTTGAGCTTGAGAACTGGAAAATGAGCGTCAGAATGGTCACGTTTCTGTCACAGGGTACCATTAAATTAAAAAAGAAAAGGAAAAAGGAAGAAGGAAGGGAGGGAGGAAGGGAGGGAGGGAGGGACGGAGGGAGGGAGGGAGCCGAGTTTAAAAGAGGCTTAGGAAATGACAGACCACCATGCGTTTGTGAAAGAGCAGAAGACACATTTGAGCACATGCAGTACTGGTCGGGAACGGCGGCTATTACTCAAGGAGGAAATGACGTCATACGGGGCCTGACAGTAGCTCAGTTAGAGCGGAAAGTGGCCAAAGCCAGAGCTGCTAGGGAGGTTCCCAGACACGTGAGGTGTCTGCAAGACTGATGGTGATGACCACCCAGCCAGCCCAGTGCCTGTAGAGCAGGGGGATAGGGCAAGGTGGACCCGGAGAGCTAGCCTGGGATGCTGGGGTAGGCCTCTGTAGAGTAGACTGAAGCCCGGAGTTCAGGCCAGCAGTGGAGACTGACAGAACAGAATGCAAGGGGCGGGGCATGGGAGGTCAGGAGGGGCAAAGCATGGAGGGGAAGGGGAAGCCCTCCGCAGGCACCTTTTGAATAAAGGGGAAGGGATGGAAGAGAATCGGAAGAATGTTGGGGGTCATGAAGGAGTCATCCAGGAGGCAGTTTTCTTCATGGAAACCTAGATAAATAAAATGACTGGGAAGGAAGGGGTGATGCCCATCCTCCAAGACTAGCAATCCCAGAATGCCAGGGTTCTAAGGGGAGGGGTGGGCAGAGGCCAGACTGCAATAGCCTGCAAGGAGAGGAGGCAGAGCTGGGGCAAGGGTGGGTGCTAGCCCAAGAGAAGCTTTTATGGAAGAGTAAGATTGGAGCCAGTTTATTAGCTGAGCTAGGGAACTGATAAAGGAGGTGGGGGAGGGGAGCAGCAGACTGCCCGGAAGAGGGGAGATAAATCCGACAGGCAGCAAAGCCCCGAGAAGGGGAGATAAATCCGACAGGCAGCAAAGCCCCGAGAAGGAAATCCAACCATTTCGACATTCTTCTAAGCAACCCCCGCTCTTGATTTATCAAAACGCTTTGAAAAGAACTTGAAAACATTAACAGGACCTGGTGAATTCCTAAGCTGCCTGTGCTGGTCCAGACCCTGTTTATTGCCTGTAACTTCAGGTGACCTAATTACGTTATAAACAGCCAGATGAGACATTTGGGTCCTGCTCAAAGAAGCCGGGGAACATGCCCTAGGCACCCACATTTTATTTAATTTCTCTATGCATCTTCAATATCCATGGCATCTTCCTTTCTCTTCAAAAACATCTCCACAAACCAAGGTGTTTAGCGGCCTTTCTCTGACAACTCTAGCCGACACCCCGTTTTCACGGTCCTCGTGTCTGGCACACAAATTGCAATGAATGTAATAAATGAGCTTGTTACATGTTAGAACTCGGCATTGTTTAAAAACAGGTATTTTTAATGTTCCTTTCTCTGGAATTGGATTTTTTTTTCTCTTTCTTTCTAAAGCACGGTCTATGGCGGATAAACAGCTCTTCCATAGTAACATTGTATTGTAACTGAAAGTCATTCTCTGACAAGATCCTCGGCTTGGTGCCTTCCATTACCTGTCACTCTCTCCCTTGCCCCTGAGGTATTTGTCAGTATAATTTGTCACCGAGGATCTTCTCCAGGCTCGGGAACTCTTTTTCTTTTTATTTCAAAAAATTATTTTGAGAATTTCATAACATTAGTAATATATTATGTCATCTCCATCCTCCCCCTACAAGTCCTCCTGTGTCCCCCTCAACCCCCATAAATGTTATGACCTCTTATTACGTATATATTAATGTATACATGCATATAATATTGACTATACACCCCACCCTGGGTTCCTTAATGTCACTCGTATACAGTGTATTACGGCTGACCACACTCCTGAGAAGTGCTGGCTGTTCTCCTCCTGTCCAGCACAGCAGCTTGCTCTAATGAATGCTCTCGCAGTGGGTTAATGGATGCTCTGGTGTAGTAAGATGCAAGTATCTGTCATCATACCCAGAGCATATGTGTCATATCACTGTGTCAACTCTAAGTCAAATACTCTAGGGACCTCCCAGATGGCTCATGGGTGAGGGTGCATGCCAAGAGTCTGACGACTAAAGTTTGATCTCTGAGCCCCGTGTGGTAGAGGGACAGAATCAACTTCTACAAGGTACCCTCTAACAAGCTCATGTATGCCATGGCATGGATGCCTACACACACAGAAGGATGGCTCGGTGATTGAAAGCACTGACTGCTCTTACAGAGGATCTGGGTTCAAAGCTAATGCCCTCTTCTAACTTCCGTGTTAATCTCTGTGGACACCAAGCATGTATGTGGTACATATACATACATACATACATACATACATACATATACATACATATACATACATATACATACAAGCTAAATATTCTTAAAATAAATAAATGTAATAAAAAGAAATGTTACTGTTTAAAAGAAGAAAAAAATAAGCAATTTTTTTATTTCCACCTATGTAAAAGCCCAACAGCATAGCACCATCTGATCATAACTTTAACTTTAAGAAAAAGGCTAAGGCAATTAAAATTTCTACTAGAGGCATCCAAGGGGTTATTCTGAGTAATGTCTGTTACTTAGCAGCCAGAAACACCATAAGCAAGATCGTGACCTATGTTGGCTAGTTGTGCAGGCACAGGACCATGCTTACTAATTTCTCTTTGGATAAAACCGATTCTTTTACAGAGCTAAAAGCAAGGTGTTACTGACCCTCACTGAATATCCAGAAAGCTGAGCTTCTGTCTGCAAAGCTGAGCTCTGTCTGCAAAGCTGAGCTCTGACTGTACAGCTGAGCTCTGACTGTACAGCTGAGCTCTGACTGTACAGCTGAGCTCTGACTGTACAGCTGAGCTCTGACTGTATAGCTGAGCTCTGACTGAACAGCTGAGCTCTGACTGTACAGCTGAGCTCTGACTGAACAGATGAGCTCTGACTGTACAGCTGAACCCTGACTGAACAGCTGAGCTCTGACTGAACAGCTGAGCTCTGACTGTACAGCTGAGCTCTGACTGTACAGCTGAACTCTGACTGTACAGCTGAGCTCCGACTATACAGCTGAGCTCTGACTGTACAGCTGAGCTCTGACTGAACAGCTGAGCTCTGACTGTACAGCTGAGCTCCAACTGAACAGCTGAGCTCCGACTGTACAGCTGAACTCTGACTGTACAGCTTAGCTTCTGAGTGTACAGCTGAGCTCTGAGTGTACAGCTGAGCTCTGAGTGTACAGCTGAGCTCTGACTGTACAGCTGAGCTCTGACTGTACAGCTTAGCTTCTGACTGAACAGCTGAGCTCTGACTGTACAGCTGAACTCTGACTGTACAGCTGAGCTCTGACTGTACAGCTGAACTCTGACTGTACAGCTGAACTCTGGCTGTACAGCTGAACTCTGACTGTACAGCTGAGCTCTGACTGTAAAGCTTAGCTTCTGAGTGTAAAGCATTTTTCAGAGCATACACTGCCACATCGCTGCCAATGCAACAGTGTAGAAACACTGTTGAGAAATTAACCCATGATGGGGCTGAGCTCATTCTGCTGGGGTTCCTCTTGCTGTTTGCAATTCACACTCTTGGCTCCTGTGTGGTTTTTAAATCCAGCACCAGGATAAAAGAGGCCAGATGTAAAAAATCATATCAGTACTACAAAAAATGTTTCTGGTTTGCAGACCACATTATTGAAACAAAACAAAAGCACAGCAGACCTGGGATTTTTCACCTCTTTTTTTTAAAAAAGATTTGTTTATTTTTATTTACGTGGATGAGTGTTTGCCTGCATGGGTGTATGTGCACCTTGTGCATGCAGTATTTGTGAATGCCAGAAGGGGGTGATAGAGCTTTAAGCTTCAGAATCAGCTCATAGAGTCAAATGTAGCACTCGGTAGCCCACTCACATGCTTAACCATGGCCAAAGAGACACCACAAGTGTTTATTGCTGTGGGGCTCCACATCTCAAGTTATAACAACCAGTTCATATGGGAGACACTTTGTAAGTCACAAGGTTGGAAGGTGACCCTGCCCATTGCTGCTCGGGATCCTGTTAGGAAGCAGGCTCTGTGATGACACTGATCGGCCCTGTGTGCTGGTGTCTCCGTCCTTTGCCATTGTGCAGAGTGAGATCCCAGCATAGGGGATTGCTCTCATTTTCCTGATCAGTTGATGGAAGCGCAGAGAGGTTATTTAAGTGGCTGAGCAACACAGCTGTGCATGCAGCCAGATGTGGTGAAGCTGGGATTCAACGCATGTCCTGCAGATGCCCAGCCCTTCATTTTGTACATTCTGTTACTCCTTATCCACTAACAGTGTGTTTGAACTCATGAGGCTTTCAGTTCAGTCCGTGTTTAGCAGCCCGCCCTGCCCCCTTCCTGCACAGAGGATCAAGGATGAGCCTTGCTTTTTGCTTTTGTCCTGGATAGCTACTATATATGACAATCCTGTTACTAAATGCAATCCACTGTTGGATCAGTAAACTTGTGTTCCTGGGTAGTTTGTTTTGGAGAATAATGTGTAACTGTTCTTTGTCCTGTCTCTTCAGAGGTGAGCCAGAGATTTCCCACGACACACCCAAATGGGCGGCAGATCATGCTCACCTACCTGTTGCCATGGCTACACAACATTGAACTGGTGGACAGCAGACTCCTCCTCCCAGGGTCAAGTCCCAACAGCCCTGAGGATGAGGTCAAGGACCGGGAAGGAGAAGTAACTGCCTCTCACGGGCTAAAAGGGAATGGCTGGGGCTCTCCGGAAGCTACCTCACTGGTCCTGAATAACCTCATGTACATGACAGCCAAGGTACCTCATATAGCATGGATCCATCGGCAGGAAAGCCCTGGGTTCATAAACCTTTGGCACAAACCCAAGAAAATAATGTTTATCATAAAAATGACACAGGGCATGTTGAGTGGTAGTGATGGGTATAGATCAGGACACTTAGTGCCACTGAATTCTGTACTTTAAAATATGTACAATGCTATATACAAAGTCGAGAGTTCAAGACCATCCTCAGCTACATAGTGAGCTTGTATCCAGCCTGGGCTACATGAGACCCTGTTTCAAAAAAAAACCCAACAAAAGGAAAAGATGTTCTTGATGTTGCCAGGGTAAACTTCCTTTTTTTTCCCCTCAGTATTTGGTAAAGAAAGATACTACCGTATTCATGGTCATGTATTCCTGGTTTAGTCGTTCTTGCAGAGGATCTGAATTCTATTCCTGTTTTCTAGTTTTGGGTCTGATGTAATAATTTTGTGAGTTACATGATAGTTGTATAAATCGGTAAGCTTGGGTTCAAAGGGGAGGGCTGGTAAACCTGGCCCTCCTCATTTGCTACAAAAAATAATAAAATAAAATTAATTGTTTGGTGCATTTAAAAAATGGTTTTGGTGAGAACTGGGGATGTATCTCAGGGTAGAATTCCTGCATTAAATGCAGGAAACCCAGGGTTCAAATGGCCCACACTGCAATTAAAGAATGAGGAGATTATGATGCAAATGTTAGATAAATAGATACCTACATACATTCATAAATACGTACATATATACATGTACATGAGTACATGGGTACATACATACATAGGTACATAGATACATAAATATATACATATTTACATACATATATTCATATAAATATATACATAGATACATAGATAAACACATACATACATACATACATACATACATACATAAAAATATACATTTCACATAGATATCATATATTTTGGGGAAAATCATGGCCTACATTTTTAAAAAATACTTGTATAGGTACTTATGTAAATAATCTATGTATTATAAATTTCCATCTACCCCAAAGTGATTTTTTTTATCAAATAGTCATTTCCACCCTCCTAATGACTTGAACAACTATAACCTTCACAACAACTTATGTGCACACTCACATAGGCTGCTTTTCATCTTGTCTGAGTTAGTATGGAGATGAAGTCCCAGGAGCGGAAATGGAGAACGCTTGGAATGCACTAGCCAACAACGAGAAGTGGAGTAACAACCTGAGGGTCACGCTGCAGTTCCTCATCAGCCTGTGCGGGGTCAGCAGCGACACCATCCTCCTGCCCTACGTAAGTGCCACGCAGGCTTCTGGGAATGCTTCTTCCCACTGGGGCTCCCCCTCGTCATACTCTCCACTCCTGGTACAACATAGGTCTGGTTTTCAAATCCTGAAAATCCCTTGGGGGCTCATCCAGGTGATGCATGAAAGTTCCTTCTGCCGCCGCCCAGCACAGGCTCCGTGTCAGGGGCACCTGTCAGCCCCTTGGACTAAGCTACAGGACACAGACACCTGTGAATTGAGGGTTATTTTCCTGACAGTTACCAAAGCTTCCTTTATAAACATCAGTAAAGATCAAATGTAAAAGTCAGTACTAACAAAAAAAAAAAATGCTTCTGATTTGCATATGATATTATTGAAAAAAAAAACAAAAATACAACAGACCTGGAATTTTCTTTTCTTTAAAAGAAAAAAAGGGATGTATTTATTTTTATCTTATGTAGGTGACTGCCTGCATGTGTGTATATGCAGCATGTGCATGCAGTACCCATAGAGGCCAGAAGTGGGCAACAGATTCCCCTGGAATTGGTGTTAAAATACTGAGCTGACATGTAGAGCACCCTGGAACTAAACTCTGATCTTTTGCAAGAGCTGCCAGTGTTCTTAAACACTGAGCCATCTCTCAACCCCCAATTAGATTTTTTTTTTTTTTCAGAATTATGTGATAGGAGAGAAAGCAAAGCAGAGATATCCATATGGTATATTCTTTTTTTACTTGAGGATGGTGGATCAACAGAGCCATTCCTAATAGACTCACTTGGCTTCTCTGTGTGGTTTATGAGTTTATGGCTCCCTGTTGTTCTGAGCTGTTTCAGCCACACTGCAGGTTAAACATCAGGGCCTGCACTTTTGTAACAGACTGATATTGTCATTTTTTAAAACCTAGACTTTACAGACAGCTAAAACGTATTTGTTTCTAATGACAAAGAGGAGAGAAGGTGTGTTGGTCACTATTCTATGCTGTGAAGAGACACCGTGACCAAGACAACTCTTACTTTAAAAAAAAAAAAGCATTAAATTTGGGTCTTGCTCAGTTTTAAGGAGTCAGTCTGTGGTCATCGTGACAGGAAGCAGACAGGTTTGGTGCTAGAGCAGTAGCTGAGAGCTTTACATCCTGTCCATGGGCAGCAGCAAGAAGAAAGGGAGAGATATGGGCCTAGGCTTTTAAAACCACAAAGCCTATCTGTAGTGACACACTTGCCCCAATAATGCCACACCTCCTGATCCTTCTCAAACAGTTCTACCAACTGGCGACCAAGATTTCAAACCTATGAGCCAATGGGGGCCATTTTCATTCAAACCACCACAGGGGAAACTGTATTCCCCTTTTAGTAAAAGTAGCAGTTATTTTTCCCCAAAGCAGATACAATAAATCATTTTTTGTCGTATAAGTACCTTGTACCACTGAACACCAGTAAAATCTTGCAATTTTTTGGCTTAAATTGACTCAGTTCACCCTGAAAGTATTTTTTTTCCTAATTAAACCACTTAAGAAGGTACCTCTGTAGCGTGACTTTAATCCCAACACTTAGCTCACCCAAGGAGAGCAAAGGTCAGTTGTCAGCTGTACCAGATGACAGTGTGCCCCACAATGAGGGGGTTTCAGCCCAATGCTCTAATAGAGAATATATCCCTCCTTTATTTTCTTTCTCCAAGATTAAAAGGGTGGCAATTTACTTGTGCCGGAATAACACCATCCAGACTATGGAAGAGCTTCTCTTTGAGCTACAGCAGACAGAGCCTGTGAACCCCATCGTCCAGCACTGTGACAACCCACCTTTCTATCGATTCACAGCCAGCAGCAAGGCCTCAGCAGCTGCTTCAGGTAGAGACAGGCCACCTGGGAACACTCCCTCCATGCCACACACTGAACATGTTTGAGTGGCTCTCATTTTGAAATGGTTCACTTTAGAGATTGCTTAAGAATAGGTGTCTGAGACCCTCGGCGCATTGTAATTGGGATTTAACTAATGACTTTGTAAGGATAATCATGAATTAGTGGCCCAGTGACTTCCCTGACACAGAGAATTGTTTTACTTTAGACACTGCAGTCTTGAACCTGCTGAATACCTTAATAGAATCTCCTTCATAACATTCTCCCAGGATTGACTAGAATATTCCATGAAATCTAAAATGCTCAAAAATCTGAAATTTTTTATAATAACCCCAATATGAGAGCTGAATGTATACAAACTTTGCTCATTATTCTTTTTTTTTTTTTTTTTGGTTTTTTTCAAGACAGGGTTTCTCTGTGTAGTTCTGGCTGTCCTGGAACTCACTTGGTAGACCAGGCTGGCCTCGAACTCAGAAATCCGCCTGCCTCTGCCTCCCAAGTGCTGGGATTAAAGGCGTGCGCCACCACCGCCCGGCTTTTGCTCATTATTCTTAAGAGATTTATTTATTTTTATTTTGTGCACATTGCCTACATGTGTGTATGTGCACCATACACATACAGTACCCTCAAAGGCCAGAAGAGGGCACCAGATCCCAGAACAGGAGTTACAGGTGGTCATGACCTGCTCAGTGGATATTGAGATCTAAACCCAGGTCGTCTCCAAGAGCAGAACGTGGTCTTAACTGCTGAGCCGTTTCTCCTGCCCTGGCTTTGCTCATAGTTATAAATGTATAACACTACCTTTAGGCATTGTGTATTAGGGATACATAAAGCAGAAATGAATTTCATGTTTAAACTTGAGCCTAGCATACATACACAAGTATTCCAAAATCCAAAACAGCTAAAATCTGAAACATCCTGACCCCATGACTTCTGGATAGCAGATGCTCACCAGGTTTTATTATTTTCAACCAGTTTGTATCTGTTCATTTCATGGAATACATAACTACTTCCCTCAAATTTCCTGAAGCTTCCCTTCAATTTATTATTGAATCTGTCTTCAACCCTGTCTTTCCTACTCTCTTATGCTCTGTCTTTACACTACTTCTTAGTGAAGTGGGGTTTTGTTTTGTTTTGCTTTGCTTTGCTTTTTCAGTGAGACACTAGCCTAGGAATCAGAATTCCTTTGGAATTCCTTTCATATCATTAGTTGGATAATCCCTGGACCCATAAATACTAAAAGCACAAGTTATGGTGGTGTCTGCCTTTACTGGCAGTGTTGGGGAAGCAGAGGGAGGAGGGGCATAAACTAAAGGCCAGTCCAGGCTACATAGCAAGACCCTGTCTCAGTGACAGCAGTAAAAGAGAATCTATTCACAGCTGTAGCAGACCGACCCCATGTAAGGTCATGACCTGAGGCTAGAAACATCTAAGAATGGTATCGCTTCATTTTTTATGAGGAAGGAGGAATTTGGTTTGGCCAACACAGATGTCTAGAATCCCATGCTGTGGACTTGGAGACAGTTGTTTGGAATGTCTGCGATTGTACGGAAGATATAAAAACTGTCAAGCATGGGATTTTACAGGAAATCCTTTCCTGAATTGCTTCCGATCCGAGCCCGCCCCCTCTGCATACTCTGTCTCTGATCTCTCCCAATCCCTCTGCAGGAACCACCTCCAGCAGTAACACTGTCGTCGCCGGCCAGGACAGTTTCCCAGACCCCGAGGAGAGCAAGATACTGAAAGAATCCGATGACAGGTTGGTGTGTGCATTTGACTTGACATCTGCTCTAACGTTCAGCTGGAGTCTATGCAAAGGCATCTGTTCAAGTTAGTCAGGTTTCCTAAATGCACTGGAACTGAAGCCCATCTTTATGCTTAGGAACACAGACTGACATCCTTCAGAAAATCAGAGAGTAAGACATTCTTCTGATGCCTGAATCCTACTTAGACCTGGGCTTCATGAAAGCACTTGTTGGAGGCTGAAGAGATGGCTTATGGGTCTTCAGAAGACCCAGCACCCACATGACAGCTCACAACCATCTGTAATTCCAGTGCCAGGAGATCTAATGCCCTCTTCTGGCCATCAGGGTACTGTGTGATGTGTTTTATAAAGACCAGGTTCTGTTTTATAGAGCTTGGTATGGTGTGATGGGAGCGGGTACCTCAGCGGGCCTTTGCTGAGGCATCCCTCCCCCAGAGGTACCAGCCAGATAATGGGCATAGTAGAGAGTTTATCTGAGGGCATGAGAAGAGAGTAGAGGAAGAGAGAGAGAGAGAGAGAGACAGAGAGAGAGAGAGAGAGAGAGAGAGAGAGAGAGAGAGAGAGAGAGAAACACATCGAGGGAGGGGAGAGAAGGGGAAAGGGGCAAGAGAGAAGAGGGGCAGAGAATCAGGGAGAGGCAAACAGTTCCTTTTATAGTAATCCAGGCCTACATGGCTGTTGCTAGGTAAGTATTGGGTATAGAAGGAATGCCAACACTGTACACGTGGTACAGATACATGCAGGCAAACACTCATATACAATAAAAATAAATCAATCTTTGCAGAGTAAAAAACACATTTTTTGCTACTAGGCACAAACCACTTGTAATTAGAGGAGATTTGGCATGGTATACTTTCAAATTAGTGCATGGTTTCTTAAATGTCTTGAGGAAGTTCTCTGCAGCAACATTGTGTTAGCTTTTGTTACTATAGCAAATACCTGAGACAGGATAACTCATAAAGAAAGTCATTTACTGAGCTCACAGTTGTAGGGGCTGGTATTCTAAGCAGCACAGTTTGGGCTTTGGCACAGACTCCACTGGCTGCATCAGAATTACAGAGCCTCCATCCTAATTGTCTTACATAATCTAGTTATCATCCTAGGTCCTTCCTTCATTTCATACACATAAATGTATTATATTTAGAGGCTGGATTGTCTCAGAGTAGAGAGAAAAAGGTATACATTAAAGTTACGTAGATGAACGAACATTTTACATGTAATCTCTTTATATTCAAAATACCCAGTAATTTCCCATTGAGTCCATTTCTTTTCCTAAGCATCTTCCTTATAAACGCCACAGCGAGATGAAGTTTCCAGCCTCTTAATGCCATTGATGCAGGGCAGGAGAGTCAAGCACCTACGTGAGTCCATGGAGACAGCCAGTTCAACCTATAGCAATCCTCAGTCTCACTGAACTTGTTCTTCATTGTATCCTTTTCTCCTTTTTCCTTTTGGTTTTTTGAGACCAGAGTTTCTCTGTAGCCCTAGCTGTCCTGGAACTCACTCTGTAGACCAGGCTGGCCTCTGCCTCCCAAGGGCTGGAATTAAAGGCGTGTGCAACCACTGCCTGGTTGCTTTAGTACATCTTAATTAACCAAGAACACCCTTTTCCTGTGGCACCAAGAACCCTGAGCTCTACAAGGCTTCTTCTCTCTCACCTGCACCCCTGTCTTCTCATTGCCTGTGAATAAAGGAACAAAATCCAGGACTCTGTGTAACAAATGATTGTGAAAAAACAGGGAGATAAACAGACTCATGGGTTTTTTTATATTGTTTAGTTTCACTTCCTTTCATTCTATGTGTATGCTGTTTGGCCTGCACATAGGTCTGTGCACCACATGTGTGCCTGATACCTGCAGAGGCCAGAAAAGAGCTTCAGATAGCCTGGAACTGGAGTTATAGATGGTTTGTGAGCTGCCTTGTGAGTGCTAAGGGTCAAACCAAGGTCCTCTGGAGGAGCGCCCGATGCTGGTAACCACTGAGCCATCCTCTGACCTTACTCTGTAAATTCTCAATCACTTATTTTGTAGACTTGAGTTTCCATCCTCCTTTTCTTTGGGATAGAAAGAGATATCTCTTCTGTTTCTATATTTTAACATCTTGTTACAGAGTCTTTTTTGTACCACTAGAGTTGTGGGTATCCCGCGTGGAGATTTTTGTTATGGCCCTTAGCACTGAGAAGCTAGTTATCTGTGTAAGACAAAGATGAAGTAGCACGGGCTGGATAGGTGTTTCAGTGGTTAAGAACACTGACCACTCTGCCAAAGGTCCTGAGTTCAATTCCCAGCAACCACATGGTGGCTCACAACCATCTGTAATGATATCCGATGCCCTCTTCTGGTGTGTCTGAAGATGGCTACACTGTACTCACATAAAATAAGTAAAAAAATAATTTTTTTTTTTTTTAAGAAAAAGAGAAGACAAAGTAGTACTTATAGAGACATTGTCCTTGGAATATCTGGTAATTGCAGTCTTCCAGAAGCTGAGGCAGGGGATTACCACGACCTTCATTACAGTTGTCATGAGCTGTATTACAGTTCCAACATTTGCCCGTCTCAGAGGGACTTGTTTCTGCTTGACTTTGGCTTCATAACCATTATATAAGACCCCTTTAGACCCGTCTCATCAATGAGGTCCAAAGAATACTGTCCAGCACGTGATATCATCCCCGTGTCCTCCTGAGCAAGTCAAACCCCACTCACTTATGCATCATCAGTGGCCACAGGTGCTGTGCTCCCCACCCCCTTCCCCAAATATGGAAACCTCCAGATGTGGGATCCTTTCATCAGCCTGCTTTTATTATCTCTTGCCAGATGATGGTTAGGCTCAGCACGTGCTATTTAGAGCATTGCATTTTCAGTACAAACATGATTAAGGAGGCTCTGGGAAAGATTGTGGTTAGCATTTATCTACCATCTGATATTCCAGTGTGGCTTAGACTGCTCTGTGGCATGACCTGTATGAAACGTGTATGTGTGTGTGTGTGTGTGTGTGTGTGTGTGTGTGTGTGTATTTGCCTGTGTGTGTGTCTTTGCATGTCTGTCTTTGTGTGTGTGTATGTCTATGTGTGTCTGTGTGTGTCTGTGTGTGTGTCTCTGTGTGTGTGTCCTGCTCCACAGAGCTGCAAAGCAGTGACCCAAAAGATAGGACAGTGGAGAATGGTTGAAGTTACTGAGGACTATTAATGAGCACAGGCTGAGGAGAAAAATGAACTTTTTCAGATACCTAAGAAATCAATAAAGCCAGGCCCTGTTGTGTGGCACATTGTGACAGCTCAGTGAATACAAATCCCTGACACAGCTTTGTGACGTAGTACCTCGACACAGTTGCTCTTCCCTGGCACGCCTCAGTTTCTTTTCCTAAAACCTTACTGTCCCTCCATGTGCTGGCTCGTTTTTGTCAACTTGACATAAACTAGAGCCATTTGGGAAGAGGGAACCTCATGATGAGGGAGGACCCAGCCTACTATGGACAGTACCACCCTGGGGCAGGTGGTTCTGGGTTATATGAGAAAGCAGACTGAGCAAGCCATGGAGAGCAAGCCAGTAGGCAGCCTTCCAGCATGGGCTCTGCCAGTTCCTGCCTTCAGGTACCTGCCTTGAGTTTCTTCCCTGGTTTCCCTCAGTGAAGAATTGTGACCCAGGCTATCTAAGTCAAATGAACTCTTTCCTCCTCGAGTTGCTTTGGGTCACAATCTTTATCACAGCAATAGAAACCATAGACAAGACCCTCCACATCCTTGTGAAGGCATCTACATCTGACTGTTCCACAGGAAACAAAAGCTTGCTCTCTTGTCATCCCGGCCTGCTCAGTAGTATAAGGAAACGCATGTGTTGGCTTCAGAATTTTCTGATGTCTGTGCATAGCCTTGGCTCTTTGCTTTGGCCACATATAAAGAAACAGATTGCTGGGCGGTGGTGGCACACGCCTTTAATCCCAGCACTTGGGAGGCAGAGGCAGGCTGATTTCTGAGTTCGAGAGTTCGAGGCTAGCCTGGTCTACAGAGTGAGTTCCAGGACAGCCAGGGCTACACAGAGAAACCCTGTCTCGAAAAACCAAACCAAAGAAAAAGAAAAAAAAAGAAAAAAGAAAAAGAAATGGATTGAATCTCCTGTGGATCTTTTATATAAACTAAGTATGTATACCGATTTGGCCCTGGGATGTGCCCCAATGGTCAAATCCTTGCCTAGTACATATGAAGGCCTGGGCTCCACTCCTAACACTATAAACTGTAATATAAATATACCACTTGGCCGTTTTTCCCCTGAGTCACAGCCCTGTGTTAGAATGATGAAGATGAACTATTTCAAATGCTTCAGGCAGCCAGGAGCAAGGCATCCTACAGATCTCAACTGAAGCGTGATAATAACATGATAAAAGCATAAAACTGGGCTGGAGAGCTGGCTCAGTGGTTAAGAACATGCACTGCTGTTCTGGAGGACCTATGTTCAATTCCTAGCCCCTGCACTGTGGCTTGCAGCCATCTGTAACTCCAGTTCCAGGGGATACAATACCCTCTTCTGGCCCCCAGGAGCACTGCATGTATGTATGGTCCACATGCAGGCAAAATACACATACCCATAAAAAATTTAAGATATACTTTTTAAAAGCATAAGGTATTAAAGTAATAAGCTATTATTTTCTTTTCCTTAGTCACTAGGATAAAGGTAGGTAGGATAGACATCTTGGTCACAGCAGTAGAACTAGAGATTTGAGGTTAGTCACACTGACACACAGTAGTCATACATAATTACCAGGCACATGGTAATATTATGATATTTCATGTCAGGATAGAACCTATGGGGTGCCTGTCTCCTCAGATGTCCACTCAGTCTTAAATTGTGGTTTTGCTACTCAGAGGTGTCATGGCACGGACAATATCTGTATACTGTCTGCTGCTTCTCGAAGGTTGACAGCAGACAAGTTGTTTAACCTCCTTCAGCCTCGGTTTCCCTATTTGTAAAGTAAATAAAACTTATGTCAAAAATGAGAGGCAAATTAATTAAATGAGGCTGTGCATCTGACATCAGTGTGGTCCAGCTCTGTCCTCATCATCGAACAACAAACAATCAAAATCAAACAGTCAAAAAATAAAGGAGGCAGACGAAAAGTCCTCACAATTATATGATTACATCGTCTGCCAACTATCACATTCCTGAGAGGTCTCTGAGTATTTTGAGGGAAAGTTTAATTTATCCATGCCCCCAAGTTGCTTATGAAACTGTTGTGTGTATCTCTGCCTCTTCCTGCCTCCGCTTGTTGTCACTGACCAGGTCTGGCTGACCACCGAGCCTGTTCCGTGCTCTGTGAATAAGGGGGCCGAGCCTTTTAAAACAGTGCTCAACTTCATCCCCAAACAGATGTTAGCGTTTGCAGCTGGAGCACAGTGTTCTCCTAAAGCATTATTATTCTCTCAAGGTTTGGACTTTCACTTATGAACAGGACCTCTGGCCCTCCCGACTGAAAAAAGAAATGTTTCAGGCTGTCATAGTCCTTTAAGAAAAGCATAGCAACTCAGGTGGCATTGGCGTGTAATCCCAGCACTTGGGAGGCAGAAGCAAGTGGATCTCTGTGAGTTTGAGGCCAACCTGGTCTACGTGGGGGAGTTCCAGGCCAGCCAGGGCTACATAGTGAGACCCTCATCTAAAGAAAGAGGAGGAGGTGGAAAAAGGAAAAAAGAATGCACCATCATTAGAACTAAGTGGTCCCCACCCCACCCCTGAAGAAAAGGAAACATCCAACCACTGAGCTGTCAAATCTGCTCTTGAGCAACTGCACATTCACAGGCGACCCCACTTCATGGCTGTGTTTTGTTTTTGAAGGTTTAGCAATGTGATCCGAGCCCACACTCGCCTGGAGTCAAGATACAGCAACAGTTCTGGAGGGTCCTACGATGAGGATAAGAGTGAGTACCAGAGGCTGTGGGGTTCCAGCTGCACAGAGCTAGTATTAGAAAAAGTCTTTATTAGTAAAGGCCAAACAGCCTAACCGGTCCTGTGTGTCTGTGATCTTGCTGCTTTCCACCATGATGCTAAGTTGGAGAATGCCTAGCAAGAAGTTATCTCTTTGAAAAATATGTGGGGGCTGGAGAGATGGCTCAGCAGTGAAGAGCCCAGGCTGCTTTTATAGAGGACCCAGGTTTGGTTCCCAGCACCCATATGGGACCTCACAGCTGCCTGCAACTTCAGCTCCAAGAGGTCCAATCTCTGCTCTGGCCACATTGGACATGCATATGCATACACACACACACACATAGTTGAGTTTTGGAACTGTCCTAGAAGTGACTTAAGTTTTCAGCGTCATGCATCTAGAGTCCTAGGGTGGAATATGACATCCCATTGAAACTCCCCCATGATATAGTCTCAGAAACCCTTTCTGAGCTGAGAGATGGCTTCCTGCGGGAATTTTCTTAAGCCACGGGCAGTTGGGCAAGCCAGAAACGTTAATGCACTGGTAGCTTTTCGGGAGGTGGGAAGATAGCTTCTGTAGATACAATCAGTATAAATATAAGTTGTCTAGGAGTTAAGGAAACCCAAGAAGCAAAGGACACTCCAAGGACCTCAGTCTGTGTTGTGGAACTTTCTTTAAAAAATTGTTAAAAAAAATTATACAGAATAAATAGCAAAAATGTAGACAATGATTTTAAATAGACTTGTTGCATAAAACAAAAATAAAATACATCTGCTATAAATTTTTAACAATTATAAATTGTTATAATTGTTTACATTATGGATGCTTTGCCTACGTGTGTGCTTATGTGTCACCTGTGTGCAGTACCCATGGAGACCCTAAGGGTGTCATTTACCCTGGGACTGGAGTTGCAGATAGTTGTAAACTGCCCTGTGGGTGCTGAGAAGCAAAGCTGGATCCTCTGGAGAAGCAGTGGAGGGTTCAGTCCGCAGCCTCAAATAGCAGCTGATAACCCTCTGTAACTCCACTTCCTGGGGATCTAATGATTTCTGGCTTCTTCAGGTAACTGCAGACATGTGGTGCAAAGATATACATTCAAGCAGGCATGCAACACACATACGAATGAAAATAAACACAAATGTAATTCAATCTTGAGGAGGTTAAACAGTATACGGACAACTGCCCCACAGCGTGGCAAAGTCGATGGTGCAACGACCACTTCTCTGTGGTGAGGAGATGCACAGGAAGGAGGGTGCTGTACCTCAGCCAGCCAACTGCTCTGAAGTGTGTCCCTATGCTCGGGGTGCAGGGTATAGGCTTGAATACTGCCCTGCCTTGCAGAGATTGGCTTGGTGAGCATGGTACTGGTTTGAATGCTGCATCTTCCAGAGGCAAGGCAATCCTAGGCATCCCAGTCCCAAAGCGTGATAACACCTTATGGACAGGTGGCTTCTCGGGGTTTAAGAAAAGCACCCTTATATTGTAGAAATATTTAATCCCGACCTGGAGTTTCCACCCCACCTTTAAGCATTTAGTTCCCAGATTAAAAAAAAAACACACAACCTTTAAATTTACAATAAGCCTTAAACAGTACAAAAGCTGGACAGCTGTCTTCCCTCTATGCTGTTAGAATTGACTTTCCTATCAACTCACTATGTTTCATCTGGGCAGCTCTTAACTCCAATTGGCCAGCCCTCAGGGCCATGTTCTCTTGACTCCTAACCTGTGATGGCTTCTCCTTCCTCTTCCCATTCCTTCTTCTCTCTCGTGGTCCCTCTCTGACCCTCAAGCCCAGGAAAGTGAAAGCTCACCTCTGTCTCTTCTGCCCAGCTATTGGCTATTGGCATCTTTATTCACCAATCAGACATAACTTGGGGCCAAGGTGAACGTGCAGACTCTCTCATCTCTGGGACAACCAGGTCTTGGGGCCTGCACTTAGCATCACAGTAGATAGCAAAAGAATCAACCTCGACACCCTCACATCATCTCTTTTGATTTCTCAAAACAGCCATAAATAAACAAACAAACATGGAGTATTCTCTTCTATGCTCCTGTGATAGAGCACTGGGAGAAGTTGAAAGAGAGACCAGAAGAACATTTCAGGCAGAGGAACAGTAGAAATGAAGTTCCTGAGGCTAGCCCAAGTCTTGTCTAACCATGTACAGACCAGCGAGGAAGTCATGTGACTGGGGTGGAGTGAAGAGCTTGGGCATGGGAGACAGTTAGCCATAAGAGGAGCTCCGTAGCCTTGTAAGGACTCGTAAGGTCATTGTGTGGGCTGCAGGCTTCCTCAAGAGAACCTCTGGAGAGTGAACAAGGAAAGACACATGGCCAATGTGTCCAAAGACGGCTCTCTGTAGAACACGGGGCGGGGTGTGCATAGTAGAAGCAAAATGACAATAAGGAACCATGGTAAGAGAGGAGAGAGACACAGAGAACGGTGACCATGGTAACAGAGGAGTGGACCAGACACAAAGAACAGTGACAGAGCTTGACCAAGTGGTTGGATGGATGTAGGGGATATGTTTACAAGCAGATCTCTCCAAATGTGTTGAAATGTCAGTTTCCTCAGTATAAGATAGGGATGCTGGCAATAAATAGCCATGATTAGACTCTTTAGATGAAAAGTACCCAGGACAGTACCTGACACGGTACCTGTCTGTGTCACATAGGACAGTGCCTGACATGGTACCTGTCTGTGTCACATAGGACAGTGCCTGACATGGTACCTGTCTGTGTCACATAGGATGGAGCCTGACACGGTACCTGTCTGTGTCACATAGGACAGTGCCTGACATGGTACCTGTCTGTGTCACATAGGATGGAGCCTGACATGGTACCTGTCTGTGTCACATAGGACAGTGGCTGACATGGTACCTGTCTGTGTCACATAGGATGGAGCCT